AATTAAATTTAACAGTGTTTCACACGGTGGTTAAAGAAATGGGGATGTTGGTGTTATGTTTCACAACCACATCAGTTGATTTACCTTTCTGATTTCCTATCGTAATATCTTAAGACTACCTGGCCCTGGGATCATGAAACATTTTAAGCTTCATTAAAAAAAAATGTATATTGAGCTGAAATGATTTGAAGTCAAGCAGTCTAAAATTAAAATGCTTTTTAACTTTGCAGCAATAGACTATTGTTGTATGCATATTTATTAGGGATGGCAACGAATATTCGAACATTCGAATATTCATTCGATGAGTTGATATTCGAATATGAATTCAAGATTCGAATGTTCGGTGTTTTTCAGATTTCATAAAAAGAATTACTGTGATTAATAAATTTTGATTTGAACAGTGATGGAATTATCCCTGTTTAATTTACTAGCGATCAATTTCGATCGCCTGATTTCTTTCACTACTTTCTTATCTTTTTGATCTACTAAATTACATGTATTTTGTTTTGAGTATGGTGTTAAAGAATTGTACAATAATGCTTTATGTATAATACAAAATGTACTTTCATAATTTTTATTAGTTAGATATGATCGGATCTAGAATCGAGGACAACAAAATGAAATCTTAGAATGTCTCAAAGGCGTAAAGAGTATAAATTGATTGATAATTGAATGAATGTCCGATAGAATTAGTCTGTAATAATATTGTAAAGGGCTTAATTTCAGAATAAATGTGTTAATTACTTGATTATCTCGGGGTATAGATAATCCTGAATTTTATATTCATTATCGGGAAATGAGTAATTGTCTATGGAAATATTTGTTTACGTTGTATTAAAGATTATAATCATATCTCTTATTAGGCAGATAATTGTAATTTATTACACGTATTGAAATCTGAACAGTATACCGTTACTATCTTGCCTTTGGGAAGACGACTGGTTCCTCCGTTGGAGCTACTATAAATTCACGTTTCATTTGTTAAAATTATACTTTTCTACATTTAAATCATTTATTTATTTCAAACATTGACAAATATCAAATGGAATTTCTTATTGTACACCTACAAAAGGCTTCATACAATTTTATTTCCGATATAAGTATACCTACGCTAAACCTTTCATGAGAGTAGGATGATCCATATTTAAAATAAAACAGATATAACTAATTTTATCGAATATTCGAATGTATTCGAATACTTGCATTGAATATTCGAATATGAATTATAAACAAAATTGACATCCCTAATATTTATAATTTCAGTTCAGAAGTAATAAACATTTTACATATGATTGAAATTCTGACTTAAGTCTAAGTCTATTTCATGAATGTAAAAATCATCAATTCGTATTTTTTTTTAAACAGTTAAGATCTTAATGTCAACAATTCATGTGCTTTAGGGATTCCCATACTTTATGCGTTTGTAAACAAACATTATTACTATAGGAACGCGTCCAAAAAATAGGCTTAATTCACCATGGTCTTTAAATTGTATATTTAGAAAATTTAAAGACCCGTAGTCAAAACCAGTCAAAACTAGTTTTTGGACAGGTTCCTATTGTAAGAACATAATAGAAATGGTGACATTTAATTAGTAAGATCTCAATTAACTATCTGAACATTTAAAATCGGTCAAGTGAATATAGTAACAATTCAATTTTTAAAAACAAATATTGAATGTTTAAATCTAGGTAACTATATCATTTTGTAAGGCTAGAATTAAAATTTATGTGAGAAGTCCAAAAAGCCATTTATGGTGCTATACAAAAATTTAGACATTTTAAAGTATCAATAGAGTGACAGCGTAATTTTTTTTTCATATCTCATTGGGCAAAATTACTGATAAGTCCTAAATGGAATATAAGAGTGTCTGTGTTATATATTATGTAAACAAGCATTCTGAGAGTATTGCATTAGCAATACTAGTCCCCTACCGGCAAGTGTAATCTGGTTCCCGTTAAGAATTGAAAATGCCATAATTCCGTCAAAAATTAATGAAGCGGGACGAAATGCAAACTTGATCTATAACTAATCAAGGTAAAGCCACATACCAAAAATCAGCTCAATGTCTACAAGCGTTTAGAAGAAAATTGCGGAAAACCCGTAAAAATTGAAAAGGCCGTAATTCCGTCAAAAATCAGTGAAGCGGAACGAAATGCAAACTTGTTCTGTTACTCATCAAGATACAGTCACATACCAAAAATCAGCTCAATATCTGCAAGCGTTTAGGAAAAAAGTGCGGAAAACCAAGTGGGACAGACTGACAGACAGACAGACAGACGGACGGACAGACTCAGAGGAAACCTATAGTCCCCTCCGGTTTCACCGGTAGGGGACTAATAAAATATATTGACTTGTGTGGGTCCTCAAACGTATTCGTCTGAAGGTAGGATATATTCTATCTTCAAAAACAGATTGGGATTTGAAAAAAAAAATATTTATAAGTACCCCCAAAATTTAGAACATTTTTAAATAAAATTTAGAAGAACAAATCATTGTCTACCAATGGAGACTGTGAGATGGTGTGGTCATTCACTTAAGAAATGAATTTCATTTTTGAAGTTGAACTACGACGCTTCACGCCGGCATATTTTATGAAGCGCGTTAGCGCTTCACGATAAATATGCCGGCGTGAAGCGTTATAGTTCATGTACCTCATGAATTTTCAAAAATTAAATTCATTTCTTATATTTACATTATTATTCTGATGATTTGCCACAAATAACACCATTCAACTGTCATTTTTAAAAAACAGTTTTGACGTCAAGTAAGGTATTATGACGTAACTGGCAATGGAGATATTCATGCCCATTCATGGTAGTTCATGAGAAAATGAACTGTATTCTATTTTGTAAAGAATCATGGTGGAAATTTATTGAAAATGTAAATATTACTCTGTAAACGAGCCAGGTGTATAACGTAGAATATTGACCCGGGTTGAAAATTGTCCCGGGTTTATTTTTCACTGATACTGATCCGGGGGTGCTTTTTCGCCGTTGAAAATTGAGACTTAAAGTCGTGAAATTTATACCCGCGGTCATTTTTCAATAGCTTGGTAATTTTCTTCTAATCTCCGATGACCTCAAGACGTTGAAAACTGACCCTATTGAATATTGACTCCAACTACAGAGTGTTGAATTGTCTTTGAACTGGAAGTTGTTTACACGATTTATCTGTATCTATTTATTCATATTTCAGTTTCAAAGTTTTCATTTTTTTCAGAATAATAGGTCTGAGATCATCCCGAATATGATCAGTACACGATTTTTAAAGTTATTTTCACGTTTGAGGCCACGGTTGTCTATGACAACCTTTTCACAGCAATTATTTTATTTTAACATAAATTGCATGTATGTAAGTTAACGGTCATTTTATGATTTTAAACATATCATAAGTAAATTTAATCCATTTATTCATAGTTCTTAAATTATGTTTATCATATCTATATTTTACTGTGCAATGCTCAAGAGTAATTCTAGAATTATATTTAGCGCTTTATAAATTTCGTATAATAGGTATTTTAAAAGATCAACTACATGATTGATGATCTACGGGACCCTTTCATTGCCTACTTCTTCCTACGTCTTTTGTGATTTACAGTTTTCTTTTTTTATTTACAAGAAATACAATTTTTTAACTGCGAATTTCAGCGAATTGCGGTTTTTATTAGTAGTAGTATATTTAGACAGACATAGAAAAACACACAATACACAGAACACACTATCCTGAAACCGAGCCCCTATAGGAAGAATCCCCATAAAGTTATATATCATAGCTGCCCAAAATAGCCTTGATCTCTTCGATGCATTTGTTGATTTGGGATGACTTCAGCTGGGCTTTTCTATCGTCGACAAGGGATGCTTAATTAATCCTCCTAGGCACCTGATCCACCTCGGAAAAAGATTTTTGAAAGATGCCATTAAGTTCTCATTACCAGTTATTCTTCATTATCTCCCCTTTAAATAGGGCATGGCTCTTCATTTGAACAATTTTATTTAAACCCCTCCTCGCTCAAGGAAGGTTTGTGCAGGTTTTATTGAAATTGACCCATGCAGTGGTTCTTAAGAAGAAATCAAAAATGTGAAAAGTTTGCAGACCGACAGATTGATGGATACCACAAATTGTGATCAGAAAAGCTTTTAGCTCAGGTAAGCTGAAAATTTATGAAACAAAATGAGTAAACTGTGTTGACACATGGATTCATGCATCTGATCATGGGACAAATGAGCAAAGTAAACTGAGGAAAAGGAAGGTTCATCATGGCCTGTAAATGAAACTCGGAGGGAAAAGTCCAGGACTGCATGCTGACAACTATCTTATTGCCTTGGGCCAAACTGTAACTGGTGAATATCTTACAATTTTAGTGATCCATTTGTGCTGGAACAGATTGCAAGAGTGCACATACATGCTGCAATGTGGCATGACAGTCGCTGCATTAGATGTGTAACAGGAAAGAAGAAAATGTTTGGCTGGACCGGGAATCAAACCCGGGACCCCTGCATCACTAGTCAGGTGCTCTACCGACTGAGCTACCCAGGCTGATATCCAAGGCCCAAACCATTACAGATGCATATCACTCCAAAGTTCATTTTCATTCCCCATATACCCCTTATCCATTCTATGTGATAATTTTTTATTCCCAATGTAAAATACTGCACCGTCAATGAAATTTCCATTCCAGTGAAGACATCATGGTGTCTGTTTGAGAGTGTCATAAACTGAGAATTACCAAAATTTTCATTCTGAGTATCTTTTGTTTATTTTTAAATTGAAGGCTTGTATAACATTCAAACACAAACAAAAACAAATATCGTTTGATTATCAAAATTATTTGAAAAGTTACATGTACATCAATTTGAAATTTTGACTCAAGTCTGTTCACATTTTATGATCTTTACTCTTTAGGCATGTAATTTTTTCAAGGAGAAATAGGGCACTTGAACTTAGATGGCAGAACTGTCCTAAAGGGGACTACCATCATTACTGTATACAATGTAACATGTATTTTCACCCTGTCTTATTTTTGGCCCCTTCACACTTGAAAACAATTTTGGCCCAATTTAAATTCACCAGGCATAGTTGTGAGACAATGCAGTTTACTTTGAATTCACCCTACTTTAAATTCACCCACTTGTGATGAGGGCAAAAATAAAATGGGGGCAAAAATTTCCCATATAAAGAAGAAAAAAGTCAAAATCAAACACTTAAAGAAATAGTTTAGGTCAGTAACACATTATTTAATTACCAACATACACACAGGGAATACATCTGCAATTTAGCTAAAATATATGTATGTTCATTTATAAAGAGATTAATTGAGAATCAATTGCTCTGATACTCTCTTCTTCTGTCAATTCTCTGTTTAAAAACTTCCACTTGACAATTTTCAACTTTTTGAGGAATTTTCTTCTTTTAGCAGGATTGCTAAAATCATAAACTAATCCTTGAAGTGTTACTGTAGAAGAAACTTCAACACTTTTCTTCCATTGCTTTACCAATTTCAAAAATCCATTTCTATTTTCCTTTGAAGTGGAAAAGGTTTTATGATTATCTTGTGTTTGTCCCTTCTCTTCTTCATTTACCTTCTTCTTTTTGTTCCTTCCATCACTCTCACCCCATTCCTCATGACTGAAATCTTGTTTTCTTTTCCTTCCTGACTTTGGTGCTACATATCCATCCACTAACCTTGATGGCGTATTTGTTATTTTCCGCTGCTCTTTCACTTTCCTTTTCACTTCCTCTTGCTCCTGATAAACGATTCTTAATTGATCAAGATCTGAAGAAAATCGCGTCACAAGTTTCCGAGCACTCTTTAATTTCTTGTTTTGTCTGAGAGGATGCACATTCTTATGAGATTCATGTTTCAATTTCTTTAATGACTTAATATAAGTCTGGACTAGATTCTTTTCCTCTTTATGTACAAGAGGCAAATCATTTAGTATTGTTATTAGTTCCTCAAAGGAGCATTTCCTCACAGCTTTATTATCGATGAAGACTTGAGGCATACTTCTCTCTTTAGTTTCATGGTGACAAAACATCTGTCTTGGTCCCGTGATTTCTGGCATACCACAAACAGCACCAGATATACAATGTCCCTGATCATTCTTGACTTTAGGAATCTTCCTTTTAGATACATTCACAGATGGACCAGAATCAGTAAAGTTACATTCATTTACATATTGTGGGTCTTTATTTTGCTGTTGAACATTCTCAAAAGCTGGTTCTCCTTTACCTTTCCTTGAATTTGGTAGATGTGTTTCAGTTTTATTTCTACTCATATGCTGAATTCTAGGAACTGGTTCCCCTTCATCCTCACTAGAAATTTGATGATCTCTAGAAACTGGTTCCCCTTCATCCTCACTGAAATTTCGGGAATATATTTCTTCAATACTCAAATGCTGAACTCTAGAAATTGGTTCCCCTTCATCCTCACTAGAAATTTGATGATCTCTAGAAACTGGTTCCCCTTCATCCTCACTGGAATTTCGGGAATATATTTCTTCAATACTCAAATGCTGAACTCTAGAAACTGGTTCCCCTTCATCCTCACCAATTTCTGATTGTTGCATTTTTGAAAAACAATCACTGCAACCTTTCTTCGTGTCCTTGTGTAAACTTGTGACTTTATTTCTGTCCCCTGGTGATGATGTTATCTGAGATTCATCGTTTGTGTCAGAAAGCCAGTTATTGTCTTCATCATATGATTCATCTTCTCTGTCCTCCTCGACAATATCTACAAATCAGGTAAAAGCAAAATGTACGTTTCTTATCTCTGTAAAGATGTACATTGTATATATGTATATACTCAAGAGCATTTCTCAGTGTTATTTTTTAGAGTAAAGAGATCATACCTCTCTGAAAAATAAAGTATTTTATCTTCTTTGGTTCAACACTTTCCATATACTTCTCCTGATAAGTATTACTGCAATAAAAAAAAACATGAAATACTGTTGATTTTATTCACTTTAACTAAATTTCTTATCTATGCAGTAATCTTATCCCTTTTTAGAATACACTAAAGATGAATAACACCGTTCTTAAATCTTAAAGTATTCCAAAATGATTTATAAATTTATAAATTTGATCTATTATTTTTGCTTTTAGAACTTTATTCAATATCTTATTTTAAAAAAAAAAAACCCTAATCAATACCCGGTAGTACCTGTATATATAGGCTTGCAGCATTTAAGCATACTATGCATAGAAACTATTCTGGATTTTCTTTGTACAACTAAGGCAATTGAATCTCTGCTGTGTCTGACTTAAAACCATGCAGGAGACATACATGACAAGGGGGAAAGCTGTCAATGTGACAGCAAACCGGGTTTTCTTCTTCTGAACAGTTACGTTGAAATATGTAAGATATAATGATCAAATTCTCTATGAGATAAAGAAAGACATATTCCAAAGAAATCATTTCAGTGTTGAACCATGTGATGTCTTAAAATGGTTTCCGTTTTTTCCGATCATGACAAGGAACACATAGCAGGTGTGACCAGTTGGCAGGGGATGCTCACTCCTCCATGGCACCTGATCCCACCTCTGACATTTTTGGAAGTCCTTGTTTGCTCTGCTCCCGATTTGTATTGTTTTAATGGGACTTGAGCTTGAATACTGTTCGTTATCTCCTTATTTCATTCCATCCCCACCACACCATTCCCTTTCCAACACTGTTTTTTTTTTTTTTTTTTAAAAATGCATGTTCAGTAGACACCAACCTTTGATACAAATCTAATGGCTCCGGCTCATCATCTGATTCTGCAATTGTGTTTGGTAAAACTACACCATCTGGTAACTGCAACCAAGGTACATAGAATATAGATTAAGTTCACATTTTTGTGAAAGATGAATGCAATCCATCTCTACAGCCCTCACTTTTATATTCACTCCCTCTCTTGTTAGAAGTAGGGGTAAATTTGAAACCTGGAGCTTGTATTGCACAAATAACAGAATATATACATGCATTGGTAGTTTTTACATTTTGGCAGCATACACTTAATTTCCTCTAAATCCATATTCGACTCCAAATATGCTTGTATTATTTGCATATTAATCTAGTTAACATATGTATAAAGCATCTTCTTCATTGTGCCAAGAAGTCTATGACCTGCAACTGTTTAAAAATTTGAACACTCTTACATAACAAACAAACATTCACAGAATTTCTTGCAAAGTAAAGACAATTTGTTTACACTTTTTATTATAAGAGACCTGAACCTTGCTTACATATTTACAATAATTAAATCAGTTCATAAATCACATTAACATATGAGTAAAATAATACTAACCCATGGATGAACAGTAGGAACAAAGACCTCCAGACATGGATAAAGTTCTCCATACCACCTTGTGCAATTGAGGAGACAGGTTTTTGCCAGAACCCTATAACCATATAAAATTGTACAATCTGCTTGCATGATAAGGTTTAGAGTAATATGGCCCTTCAATTTGTTTGGATTTTAAAACAAGAAAATAAATGACACACTGAATATACATGTATATTTCTTTTTTGGTCTAAAACATTGCATGTAGAAAGAAAATTTTGTTTGATTGATTGATTGTTGTTCAACGTTAAGGCCATTGAGCAGTGAGGGATCCTTTTCATGCCAGCGCCTACTGCGACACAGGACCTCGATCGGTTTATACGGTCTCATCTGAAGGACTGGTCTCCACATCCCGCAGTGGGATTTGAACCCGCAACGTAAGGATCAACTACTTACACCGCGACTCTACAGCGAACGCTCTAACCACTGCGCCACCTGGGCGACGAAAGAAAAATTTTGAACCCCAGATCTCCTGGGAAAATGGAAATGATGTCAATTAAGATGCAGTTTAGCAACCTTGTCAAGACTTTAAATACATAGGAGGTCCAAAACAAGTTTGAGAGAACTACCTATTTTCTTGTTTTTTTTCCCAAATAGGTTGTCATAACATTATCTGCATATCAAAATTATCAAGGGAGATAACTTCCCTATTAAAAATATTCTTTAAAATAAAATACTTTAAAAATCTACATATATATATAAATATATGGAAGGATTTTTTTTCCTTTTACATAGTCATTACTAATGTAAACAATACTAATAAAAACTTTAAATAATAGTACAAAAGTCCTATTTCTACATGCTATTGCAATCAACAAGAGACAGTGTGAATTGCTTCCCCTCAAACTTACCATAACCTGCTGATGAGAGCCATTAGAGTCAGATTCTGGGGTACTAGAGTTCCAATGGACAATTGTTGCTTCAGATGACTTCCTTTTGTCAAGGAGTGTTTACTTAGCACAGAAAGCAATTAATAGGTACAAATAATTAAATACTGGAATCTAATATTGCTAGCTTTGCACAAATATAGTAATCAAAATGAAGGATTTTCAGGTAAAATTAAAAAAAAATTATAAAATAAGTTTCAGCACTATTTCTAAGTATATTGCTATCCCAGACAAATCTAAAATGTTATTAAACTTATTATGAAGATTTTTTTCTCTCCAAATGGTAACATTTACATCCAAGGATGTTTCTCTCTCCTTGGCAGTCAATGCCATTTGCTCAATGTGATGCATTTTAACCTTTCCTCTACATAAGGATACATATATGCTGTGAAACAGTATTTGGTTGTCTGCTTGTAAAGATGTTTGGCTCCCATCAATTTGACTAGCAGGTGCTCCATCATTTGTTGAGTAGGAAGATAGACACTTCTGGCCATCAAATTGCTCCTGATAATAGAAAAGAAAAAACTTACTTAAAAGTAAATTCTTCTTTTATTACAAAATTTGGTTGGCATCTAATATGGTGTAATTGAATTTGTAAAAACACATTTTCATTGCTTTATAAAACATTGAAGGACATAAATAGTTTACTATCTTTAAAGATATTTGGATATTGCTTACTTACTGTTGTAAAATGTGCAATAAATTGTCCACAATCTTTTCCACTTTCATTTCAGATAATTTTGCTAAACATACTTTTATCTGTATTGAAGAAAACAGATGTGTAAATTTCATGAAAATCTAACAATACAGTGACAAAAACTAGATTTCATTGAGATGGTGGCCATCTCAAAAGGCCCCGCTTTCAGCAATGAACATGAAAATGTAAGGTAGCCTATTTTTGACCTTGACCCTTGACCTAGAAACTTCATTCAAGGTCACTGCACATCCATTGATCAATGGCACTCTGTGAGTGAAGTATGAGCCACATTGGACCAAGGGGAGAGAAGATATGCTCTGGACAAGGATTTTTCATATAATTCTGCTATGACCTTAACCTTAGACCTAGAAACATGGTTCAAGGTCACTGCACACCCTTTACCCAAAGACACTCTGTGGGTGAAGTATGAGCCAGATTGGTCCGAGGAGAAAGAACATATGCTCCACACAAGAGATCTTGGACAGACAGACGGATGGAAGGATGGACAGACAGACTGATCACAATAGGGCGGGGCCCCAATGAAGTAAACAGACAGCAAGAGGACAATTTTAAGACATCGATGAACAAGCTACAGGAACATACCCTTTTTAAGAATTGAAGAGTTTTTTCACTCCGCAACTGAGCATTCAGTTTGTAGATGATACGACACAAAGCAAATTCCTCAGTGGAAAGGACTATCTGTTTCTCTTTAGCCATCTCGATCTCTTTCAAGACCATTAATACCATTTTCACTTTACCTGTATTTATAATATGAAACAAAGTTTTAATGTTATTTATGTATGATTATACTCAACATAATATGCAAACAATTCTCAAATGCCATTGTAAGAATACATGTACTAAACCATATGATCTAATTACAACCATTCTAGTGTTGAAATTATTCTTTTCAACAGAACCTGCTAGTAAAGTTTGCCTTGAGACACAGCTTTCGTATTCTATCATAATTAAGATTGATACATGCAGATGCATATATCTAGTTTTACCTAATTTAATGAACAGCTGATAAAGGTCAGGTTGCTTTTACTTCAACACTGTTCACTGCTGTTTATTTTTGATTTGTCGAATAAACATTAAAAAATAACATCTATATTAAGATTACCTCTCTCAGTCAAAGGAGTGCAGAGAGATATTATTGGTGGGGGTCTCAAAAAACGATTATTCCAGACTGTTTGTAATGGACCTGAACCAGCCATTTTCCTTGTCTACCTCAACCACGTGGTGAAAGATTCTGAATCAAATAAACGCTTTGAATTTGATACTTCATTATGGTTTTAAACGAAAACATTTTTTTAAAAAAAATAACATATTTCTATAGGACGAAACATTTCTTCAAAAATTGAAGTATTTGACAAAATATAGTTACATATGAAAATATAAATTATAAATTAAAACGCGGATTTTCATCGGGCTAAACTTCGTGTTTTAGTTTTTTCTCCACGTTCAAACTTCCGGTAAAAATAAAAATTTTCCCAAATCCGAAGTCGTAGTAGGTTGTAGAAGGATGGGGCTCTGTAAATGTCCCAAAAAGAAAGTTACGAATCTTTTCTGCTTTGAACACAGAGTAAATGTTTGTGAGAACTGTTTAGTTGCAAACCATGCAAAGGTATGCGTTCAAAAAGTGACTTGGTTTTATAGAAAATGCAGCATGCAAATGATTGACCATTTAAAAATATTTTTGTGCAGCGCTCTAGCACTAATTACTATTTTTTAGCTTGTTGAAGTATAAGTTCTGAAAGTTTTTATTAGCAGCAGAGACCTTGACGCGTTTAATATATAAAGTTACAAGAAGCCAATGTTTTTCATCATGGATAGCTATTTATTACATATTTACAATTACATGTATTATAATGTCTAGTTGAAGCAGACAGTTTTATCAGAGACATATAAAAACATGGTTTTTATATGTCTCTGGTTTTATAGTGTAACTTGTGAAAAAGTGTGAAGTACAGACCAAAATTCGAACCTGTGCCCCGTGTATCAATAAGGTGCTCTACCACAGGGGCTTGCTCCCGGCGTGTAATAATTATTTATTTTTAAAAAAATCATACATTAATACTAAAACTACACAAGGGAGGACGCCATTTTGGACCCCTTCCCCGCTTCAACCTCTGTTTTCGTTATATTTTCCCATATTTTACTGACTCACCGCCTCGGATCTGTCAAGTAATGATTCTTCTAGGACATAATGCTTAAATTTTCCCCTTGGAGCCTCTACAATACACATTTCAGACTAATAATAACCCAAACTCGCTCTTTAGGACAGTTGATAGGGACAGAAAATGAAAACACATTCGAAAATCTCGGGGTTTTTCTACTAGTTAACACAGCTGCTAATTATAAATTTGAAAAAACCGCGTTCTAATTCAAATTATCCCTTGTGTAGTTTTAGTATTAACGTATATGATTTTTTTTAAAGAAATAATTATTACACACCGGGAGCAAGCCCCTGTGGCTCTACCAACTGAGCTTTCTGGCCACCGGAGATCCGAACTAAAAGTTCTTCACCTCTAAGACCGGACCCAGATAAAAATAATGTAAAACAAAGGAATGTGTTTTTAAAAAAAATGCTTTCTCATTAATTGGTTGAAAAGGATCAGATAGACACAAATATGTAATATGTATGATAATGGTCAGCTAGTCCAAGCTAGAATTTACTTCTGGCACAGACTAAATAAGAACCCTCCCCCTTCCCCCCTTGAAGTACAAAGTATTTCTTCTATACATATAATAATGTAGATTAAGCAGGGTTCTCACTAGGATTTTGCTAACTTGAGTCCCAGGACTCAAGATTTCTGAGAAGGTTGCGTCCCAGCTAAATTTGATGCGTCCCAGAATAATTATGTTGAGTCCCAACTAAATTATTGCAGTATCCCTCCATCCAAACATCAATATAAATCTTTATCATTTTATCAGTTTGTTTACGCAATATTAACATATTCAAGTATATAAACTGGTAATGCATTCAAGCCATATTCTAAAATACACGCGTAATCAATTGCCATAAAAATTAACTTGGTGTTTATAAAGCTAAAATTAACTGTTGCATAATCAACTAGTACCCAAAAGTTGACTGTATACAATCACAGGTGTCATGTGCAATGAGGCGTAACTAATCCTGTCGGTCGTCTGCACTGGGTGAAATTCACGAGATAATCAAGCCGCATTTTGTATACAAGCAGTAATTATGGTTTCTACATGTAGATAACACTCAAGATTCAAAAGTGTGTGTGTTTTTTTTGTTTTTTGTTTTTAAATCTGTTACAGCTGTCGGAGTTTGGCATGCGACATTATTATGACTATGGACTAATAAACATGAAGTATCTTAATTATGATCAATCCCTGTTTAAAAAAAGAAGAGAAATAAGTACAAGAAAAGTTATTTCTTGGATGAACCTTATGATAGTTACAGGAAGGTTTCGATTAAATATTACTTTGACAAATCCCAACATCTAAATTCCCCCGTTTTTGAAATTACCCGAATTTTCCCGCTAACGAGGACGCGTCCGATCATGAGTCCGCGGACGCATCGTTTTTAAGAACCTTGCGTCCCAAGTAATTTTGCTGCGTCTAGGACGCAGATTCTTGCGTTAATGAGAACCCTGTTAAGTGTATAGGCATACCCTTAAGTATGTAGAAATATCCTTTTTTCTTTAAAGACAAAAAAACATTTGAACAAAAATTCAAGTCAATTTTAATTGATGGTGACCTTTCTTTTCATTAATAGAAAGATTTTTAGAAAAGTGCTTTGCATTGATAAAAATTGACCCTTTTAAGTTACTGGTATACATGGATGTTATTATTGCAAATAACTTTTTGTTTTTGTCTTTTACAGTGTGTGATCAAGTCTTACCTGCAGTGGTTACAAGACAGTGATTACAACCCAAACTGTAGCCTGTGTCACCAGTTACTAAATGATGAACAGTATGGAGATTGTGTTAGATTGACTTGTTATGGTTAGTCCATGTTAATTACGTACATACAATTAAGCACTGATTTCTTATTTTTGGATGTTGTCAGTTGAATAATAGCCTCTGGCCTTACCGAAAAATTGAATACAGTGCATAAGCATGGTATGACAATTTGTTGGCACGGACAGGGGCTGTTATATGACCAACAACATCCAAATATATAAGAATTCACTGCTTATATTTACATTCTTTAATTTTCTCTCTTCGTAAATGTTAATTTCATTCATCTTCTGTTCATTATAAACTTAGTACCTTTCAGAAGTGGTGTGGTTAATAGATGTAAGAGCCATTCTCACTTGTAAAGTTAAATAATGCAAATGAATATTGCTAGGGAAGAAAATAACAAATGCATTTTAATCAAACAATTGTTATATTTTTACAACAATTTAACAGGGTAGTTGTTTTAATTAAATTGAGCCAAAACAATATACATCTTGGATATATTTAGTGTATTAAGAGTATATGTAGTTCCTATTGTGTATTCTATCACACAGTGACAAGGTTTCTTGTGTGTTATAGGGGGTTGAATGTTGCAGATTTCCAGTGGATTTCTTGAAGAAAATAACACTGAATGTAAATATTGTTTAAGGAGGCTGGGGGGGTCAACAAATTAACCATCAGATATAACTTATTTTTTTAGATATGATATCTTAAGCTGGCAACTATCATTTGGCAAAGAAAAAATTCATACATTTTAGTTTTAAAATTTGATCATTTTTGTATATCTTTATATGGAGCTCTTCTTCTAAAGGAGATCAATATAGTCTAAAAACGGCCACGACCACCCAGCCCTCTTAAACAAGACACTGTATGTTGTATAAATATCAAAAAGTACAGCTGAGAAGAGCAGAGTTTTTTTGGCTAGCAATTCAGAAGTGGTGTATATCAATTGTCTAAAATAACTTTCTTATCTATTGCTTTTCTGATTTGCTTCTTGGACATTATTCTATTATTCATGTAGGAACATTATGTTAATTAATACCAAACTCACCTTGTTCTTCTCATGGGAGATATTTATTTTTTATTTGTTTTTCAGATATTTTTCACTGGCCGTGTCTGAACCAATATGCCCAGCAATTCCCTGCCAACACAGCACCTGCTGGCTACACCTGCCCAACCTGCAGTGCTGGAATCTTTCCTCCACCTAACATGGTGTCACCAGTGGCAGACAAACTAAAAACACTCCTCTCTACAGTGAACTGGGCCAGAGCAGGCCTGGGATTACCACTGGTACATCTCCTGACTATGTTTTGAAAGTTTCATTCAATTATTGGTGTAATCATGATATTTTTTTTATGCCCAGATTTGGTTAGATTTTACAAGACTTCATAAGAGTCTGCCTTGTGAAATAAAAGAGTTTTCAAAACTCAGTAGCTGAGTATGTAGATCACCAGACATAGCATGGCAAAAATTCTAATTTCAAGTCCCATTTGTTTTGCATGATATCACCAAAGAAATTTTTTTGGTTCATTTATTTCACTTTATTTGCCACTTTTTATAGATAGATGAACCACAAGAGCCAGTCCTCCCTCCCCCACAGGAGGCACCTCCACTGACACAGAGTACTCCAGTGAAGTCGGAGGCCACCTTACCCACACAGAACACACCACAGAAATCTGGCAGTGTTCCAAGTCATGTGACTACTCCTTACTCCACAGGATTTTCAAGCACACCAGCTGCTTCTCCTTACCCCTTAGGGGCCTCACCAAACCCCCAGACAGGGAACTCATACTCTCCAGTGTCACCTCCAAACTACAACAACAGACCAAGTGCTCATGTTCCCCCTAATCAGCACAGTGTGATCAGCGTGGATGAGGGGACCTCAGTGAGGGGCCAGGATAAACTCTCATTTGGAGGTATAGACAGGACTGTAATGATTTAGAGGGCTTCAATTGTCTTTTATTATACAATATTTACATTTCCAACTATTTTCTCCGTGAGAACTCTTTGAAAGTTGTGTGTTGACTCCTCAATATTTACAATTGAATGTAAATTTCGCAAAGTGAAAGGTCAAGTGCCTAAATATGCACGTCAATCTGTTGTGGCTGTCTTTATGTCTGATGTCAGTGGATGGGGAATATTGAAATTAACATGGAATGCCTCAAGTATTTTAAATCTATTAGTTAGCATTTTTTAATTTTATATTAACATTTTTATTTTACATATAAATGTAAATATAAGGAATCACTATCTAGTTTTGGCTATGCCAGCAGTCTGACTAAAGCCAGCCCCTACTATTTCACTTCGAACGAAGTGAAATAGTAAGGGCTGGCTTTAGTCAGACTGGGTATGCCAGGACATCAACACATCAACAACAGTTGGAAACGTGGGATAATTTATGCAAAACGGACTTAGCCCATTATGCAAATTATCACACATTTCCAAATATCATTGATGCCCTGGCATACCGTGATTCCTTAATTGTATCATTTAGAAAAAAATATTTTAATTCATTTTCCATCAGGAAGATTCCATCATTCCAAGAAAACTGATGGTGAGATTCACTGATTTAATATTTGGCATTTTGTACAAAACCTACTGTCCTAATGTTGGTCAATATGTATTAACAACTCCTCAAAAAATATCACTAGCATATAGAGAACTCACAATCTCCCAGGGTTTCTTTCACCTTTTTTTCCTCCCTAATATCACACTTGCATTCATTCTCGGTTTCTCTCAGTTTCACAGTGATAAAACAGTACATTTCTTGTGCAGGTTTATTAATTATTTTACAGATCCTAGAAAGTTATTTGATTCCACAAAAGAAGACACAAATTCCATATTTAATACATCACAGGACCACGATGAAAATAAGTACAGAAGAAGATCTGCGATGGAGTGGCTCACCAAATGGCTGAAGTAAGCTCTGTTTGATTTCAGTTAAGGCCTTTTAGGTGTAGCATCAGAAACTGCCACACCAGGCATTGTAAATTGAAGAAATATTTTCTTGCTCAAATTCTAAGTACTGAGTACATGTATCTCAAGTATACGTGTACATAAATTGGCTTATTCAAAATTTAGCGCAATTACTGGATATGGAGTTGTTGGCAAAATCATGAATTAGCGCTATACATGTCCATGCCGTATATTGTATTTATAATTGATTTCTTAGCGGTATTCATGAATTAGTGCATTGTTGTCTGGGCCAAAGTGGCTAAATAATGAAGCCTGCTTTTTTAAGTACACGTACAGTATCCTCTTATCAATAAAGAAATACATGTCGGTAGATTTTTATTGTTTCTCCTCTTCCTTTTAGGTCTCGAGATAGTAAGCATGGAAAGAAAGATCCCCTGACTTTAAGGAAGCGTTTTCTGATGGTTTTATTAATCGGTGTGATAGGATTTTTGACAATTATTGTGATATTCTCAAAATTAGGTCGAAGTGATGTTGATGAGGACCCATTTTTAGGAAATCCCCAAGTGAGAGTGATGGATGAGATCCTAGATTGATATTATGCCTGACACTGAAAATGTTTTTATCTGTAGACTTCTTACTGCAAGTCAGCAAATGCATGTATTTTGTACATATTGTTATATGAAGTGAAAAATACGAATTACATTTTTATCAGAAAGACTTGGTGAATTTTATTAAACTGAGTTTCATTTAAAAGATTTTGACATGAAATTCTCTTTTTATCCTGAAATTTGATTAAAGTTGATCAAGTTTGGATGTCTTCTTTCAACAATTCCAACATGATTGGTGGCTTATATGACATAACTCTCTCTCTCTCTCTGACAATGTTATCAATGTTATATCTGGTTTAAATACTAAACTTAAGTCTGTAAAGAAAATTATCAACTTGTTCTCTTGGTAGACATTTGTGACACAACTTGACCTCCTTTGTAAATTTTGACGTATGAGTTGATGGGGGTAATTAACTGAACTCAAACCATACAATGTGTAGCTTTAAAATAAAAATGTCAGAAAATGAAATGCTTTTTTGCCAAGATGGTAACATGTAATCATTATGTGGTTTATATATATGACTAACTGCATTTGAAATTTACTGATTTTATTGATACAGCTATATAAATATTTGAACAGAATTTTGAACACCTGCCTGAATATCAGTGTGTTAAAGAAAGTCAGGCATTCTCTGCATAGTTTTAAATTTAGGCCTCAAGTTGATATCTCAAACTGTTATAAAGCTTGAATTTTTTTTATTGGTCTTGCCAAGCTCCTGATATATACTTCATTAATTGTACTGAAAACTTATTAAACATGTATCTGGAGAAAAACGCTTTTAGACTACTATATAAATGTATTCACCAATGAACTTTAAGTATAATGTTGTATGGGTTTAGTGTATGGACTGTCTGTGACACTTTTATTTGAAAAGATGAAAATGGCTTTCATGAGATAAAGCTGACTATAACATGTATAGTGCTATGTGATCGAAATGGATAAAATAAATTGTTTGTTGTGAAATTTCGTACACTTTTAACCGTGTCACAGAGATCTGATTGTTGATTTGCATGAGTGCAATTTTTATTTATTCTTAAGATGTTTGTAATATATTGTTTTTAACTTAAAGTGGATGTTATATTTGATGTATATGTACAGAATGCAGATTCATTCGGTGAGAATTTTGCTTTGGTTTTTATAAAATATGTAAAACCACTGTATTGTTACATGTATATGAGTCATATTATTCTTGTTCATTGCATAATGAATATCAAATAAATTAAGATTTTCATTTACTCAAATTTTTCTTTTAATTATTTGGGAAAACATCAGTCAGTCTCTACATTAAAAAATGTGTTTGATAAATTTACTAATGTATATAATCAGCATTAGTCAGTTAAATTATACTTTGCACATCGATACAGAATTTTTTTGGTTTTACGAAATTCCTTCGGAAAAAAAAACAAGCAAGACAGAATTAGCTTCCTTGGTAAATGCAGACATAAACATTGGAGTTACCTCCCGTGAATTTGTGTTCTTAGAAAGTGAAAGAAGTCGATAAGATACACAACAAAGCATTAAATTTTGCTTTGAATTCTACAATGGTACGTATCTAAGGTATTTTATATTGGTAGTACAATTACTGAAAGTGATGAATCATAATAAATCTAGTTTTTAGCTAAAAATGGTAGTTAGCAACACGTGTACATATTAGTCTGAATTATCTCTGTCGTGCTGCAAACGTGAGCCTTCACTTGCCATAGTAATAAGAAGTAAATTTTAAGTATTAGACAGATTGGCAATATTTTCTATACGCGAAAGTCAAAGATTTTTTTGAGTGGTCTTGCTGTATGAACCAACAAGTGCATCACTTGATCATTGTTGTCTTATAATTCGTAAACATGGTAAACCGTAAAGACTGTAATTGATAATAATAATCACTGTGTCAGAGATAAAGATTCAGTTTGATGTTGACAAACGACTGCTGTATGTTACAGACTTCCTTTCGAATTGAGACAGACAGCTTTGGAGAGATACAGGTGCCCTCCGACATGTACTATGGAGCAAACACTGCAAGGTCTATTAAAAACTTTGACATTGGAGGATCTAGAGAGAGAATGCCTGTAAGTGTAGGAGACTACTTGGAAATAATGAATGTTATTTGATAGTTAATAACTACGTGTAAGTCCTGGTGTGAAGAAAATAACAATAAATTATAATGAAAAAGTTCATATGTAATACAAAATTATGTCCAAAATTTGCTTTCAGTTTGGTATATAGCTATCAAAGTTTTATGTAAGCACATTCCTTACATAGTAGAGAACCTCAAGTCTTTTAACCCAGAGACATATATACATGTACAATATACTAACAGTATATACATCACTGTTTAGCCATATATGATCTGGAATTTTTTTTTTTTTTTTTTTGTGGTGGTGGTGGTGGTGGTGGTGGTGGGGGGGGGGGGGTAGATGTCTATAGTCCTTTATTTAATCTGCACACTAATGTTAGACTAGTGCTTAATGTAGTTAAAGGACTCTCTACTATGAAGTGATTCCAGAAAAGTATCATTTCCACTTTTGCTACCATGCATGAAATGACAAAATATTAAACAACTTAATGTTGAGGAATTAAAGCTAGCTACCAAGAATTAGATTACATTTCCTGCCTTTTTTCTACCCACATGTAATTTGCAAGGAGGAAAAGAACGTGTTTTACATTCATTCTTTTGCTCTTCTTCCATGTAAACACCAAACTATTTATAAATAAGCTATTTAATCACACAGATGTACAATAAAAATTTCAATGTAGAATGTTGTAACACAAGATTAATTTTGTTTTTAATTAGTTACCAATCATCAAAGCCTTTGCTATTCTGAAGAAGTGTGCAGCCTTGGTTAACCAGGAGTACGGACTTGATCCAAAAATTGTCAGCTACATTGTTAAAGCAGCAGATGAGGTGTGTATTGTATAAACAATGAATTCTGAAAAATAACAGTCTACTAACTGAAGGTGTTGAAATGAAATTTAAAAAATTCAGAGTATACTTATAAATAAAATGAATCACTATTTCAAGAATAAAAAAATATGTTTTAATTGTTTTAATCTATTTTAAAATTGCTGAAAGAGAGTTAAATTTTATGTAAGTACTGTAAACCAACTATTATTCACAACTTCTATTAGCAGTTTACTGGTTAGTCCATCCAGGACTATTAATTTTTGCATGTGGAAAGGTATTTAACAGAAACACAAGTAAGTTAATTGTTTGCAGCAAGAAATATTTGCAAGTGAAAGAAGGTCAGTTAAGTCGCTGATATTTCTCTCACATGAATAAAATTTGTTTTACAGTAATGAAAACAAAAGTGAGAATGCAGGGATACATAGCAGTATTTACCACAATTTAAAGTAGAGATAGTCATACCTATGCAGGGTTGTCCCTAAGAATTGAAATAGCAGGGGACATTAAAAAAGTAGAAGGAGGTTTGAGGTTCCTCCCCTAACAGAGGGTTGAGGGGGAATACCAGAATAACCAGGAAATTATGTCATTATAGATAGGGAAATTCCCTGGCCCCCGGTCTTAGGGACAACCCTGCCTATGTTAAAATAATCATTTTGTGTTATTAATCTGCTGCACATGAAATAGCAGGGGACATTAAAAAAGTAGAAGGAGGTTTGAGGTTCCTCCCCTAACAGAGGGTTGAGGGGGAATACCAGAATAACCAGGAAATTATGTCATTATAGATGGGGAAATTGCCTATGTTAAAATAATCATTTTGAGTCATTAATCTGCTGCACATGGCACTTATTCTAGATGAATAATTTTCTCTCTGTTGTCAGATAATTGATGGTCAATTGTGGGACCACTTTCCCCTGGTTGTTTGGCAGACAGGGTCAGGGACACAGAGCAACATGAATGTTAATGAGGTGATCAGTAACAGGGCCATACAAATGATGGGAGGAGAAATGGGCTCCAAGCAGCCAGTTCATCCTAATGACCATGTTAACATGTCCCAGGTATGACCCGCCATTAAAATGATTATATTGGACCTGACAGTTCTCACAAGCATCCAAAAATGATAAGAACAGCTAAATGGGACATTTATATGATGTTAATATATAATAATATTATTATATTATATATAATATATATGTTAATTAATTAATGTTAATATGAGGTAATATTTTGCAACATGTAAAATCATTCTGTTGCTTGAAATACATGTATGAACATTAAATGTAAATTTGAGAATACATGTATTAAAGTGTATTATAGTGTAAATGTTATTCAAGCTTTTTTCCCCCAATATTGGAATTCGTAAATAATACTGTATGTGTACTTAAAAAAGCAGGCTTCATATTTTAGCGGCTTTGGCGCAGACAACGGAGCGCTAATTTATGAATACCCCAAAGAAATCATTTATACCGTAAATCTGGAAATTTTTACGTCGATTTATTTTTGCGAATCTGGGTCAAAAAGCTGTTGATTAATTTTTACGTTTCAATATTTTGCGAATTCACATTGGTGCTAAAATTAAAAAGCGCTTAAAATTTTCATAGCAGTTTATAAGTTACGCATGTACATACAATATTAAACAATGCCAACATTCAATAATCGGATTATAAAGTACACATGTACATACAATAAATTACGCATGTACATACAATCCTAAACAATGCCGATGATCAATAATCAGTTAAAAATATTAGAAGAGATAAAACATTTAAACTATTTAAATTTTTCATAACATTTTAATAAATCACGCATGTACATAAAATATATAAAACAATGTCAGCTTTAAGTAACCTTCAGATAAAAATGTTTGTTCTTAGATAAAGCAACTGGTCTCTCTCTCTTAGAGAAATAATTTAAAAAAAGAAATACTGCCTGTCAAACCATCGGATGATATTGAATGTAGTGAAGGCTTTCTGACGCACGGATTATCACGGGTAATTAGCTTGTAGTATAAACAGGTTTCTTAAAATTACCACTGCTTACGAACACCTGTTCATCTTGTTAAAGATAGCAATTTTTTTTTGTTTTTCATTTTTTGTTGTTGATTTATTTTTAAGAAATATATTTTTGCAAATGCAATGCGCGAGCAAATTTGCTAAAAATTTATCTACAGTAAAAATTTCCAGATTTACAGTATATACAATACACAGCATGGACATGCGTAGCATTAATTCATGTTTACGCCAACAACTCCATACCCAGTGATTGCGCAAAATTTTAATTACACAAATTTATGTACATGTACAGTATACCCCACAACTGAAGATTTGTTAAGTTTCTGACTCGCCTTTCACCAGGAGTGTGGCACCTTGATTGCAACTCTTTTCTACTCCTGTTTAACAATTAAAAAAAAAACATGCTTTTTTTACTAAGCCACATGACATAAAAATATAACAAATCTGTTACTTTTGTAGAGTTCAAATGATACCTTTCCCACAGCCATGCACATTGCTGTTGTCTTAGAGGTTCATCAGAGGTTGTTACCAGGGTTACAGATCTTACATAAGGCCCTAGCAACCAAACAACAAGAGTTCAAGGACATTGTAAAGATAGGCAGAACCCATCTACAGGTTAGGTTGATAGATTTTCATTGATATACATTGAAGTCTACTCAAAAATTTTGTTTCTCTTTGTGTTTTTCAGTTCAACCTAAAGTTTGGTTAGCATGGAGTGGTTGTACATGTATTTTTGTGCTTCTCAAGGTTATTGAATGTCATTGTAATGTAGTTGCATGCACTTGACCTTTAAAGGGGGGGAACATTATTTTAAGAAAACAGCAAGAAACTTTGGGAGGGCAGAGACAGCTGAAAAGAATAACAAATAAAATTTTTCATTTATTGTGTTTGAATGAGTTTTCCAAGGTTATTCTCTGAAAACATATCACAAGTCAAAATTCTATTATCCCAATAACTTTAGGAATTAAGAACAACAGTGGGCAAGTAGTGTTTTTGTTTCCTTTTTTGTCTGTTTTTTTGTTTTGTTTTTTTTGTTTTTGTTTTTTTTTTGTACGCTGTGAATCATAACAACTGCTGTTCTTTCTCTGAAATGGTTTATCAAAGACACAATGTATTAGACTTTAAAAAATGTAGCTTTTTGAAGATTTATTTTTTCAATTTGTTACAGCTACATTTCATTTGCTACTCACACTTACGAAGAATCTTTGGAAATTTTGATATAAAAACTTATGAAAGTGAGAATCAGTATTACTAATTACAAAATTACTAACCTAAACATCAAGCATTGATCAGCATGTACTACCAGCAGCCTGCATTGCTAGCAATCGGCATTCTGTGCTATTACTAGCTTTCAAATCAGCATCTTCAGTATTTTCATCAATGCTGCTTTTTTTTTTTAGATATCGTTCATTCTTTAAGGTATCAGATCAGTTTATTTTTTTTTAAGATATCAGTCATTTTAGCCAAAGGATTGAGCATTTTATTTGCAACTTTTGTGGAAAACTTGTTTAAATGTTTATTTAGTGAAAAACTTACAATGATTAAATGAAATTTTATTGCTAAACATGTCTAAAATCAAGTATTAGATACATGTATACTTCTAATGCTACCTAAACTTCAGCTAAGCCAAACAATAAAAATCTTGACCTAGTTTATTTAACCAGTAATAAACTGGCATAGATTTTATAGCTTTTTGGCATACATTCAGCCAACATTAGAAATCCACTAATTAAAAAAACCAAGCTTTTAACATTGCCTTTCATAAAATTCAATAATTCTGTAATGGAGGAGGTCTGTGTACATGTACTACATTGATTTTACAGGATGCCACACCGTTGTCCCTGGGTCAGGAATTCAGTGCCTTTGTACAACAGATTGAGTATGGAATACAGAGAGTGAATGCCACACTTCCCCGGTTATATGAGTTGGCAGCTGGTAATGTTTTATTTATTGTCCTTTATTAAAGAAATTAAAAGAACAAACTTTGTTGAAAAATTCTTTCCCTTAGTAGAGTTTTTATTGTTAATTAAGCTTTAATTAGATTACACTTGGGGTTGATTATACATGCAATCATAGGTTATGTCTTGACTCCAAAACCAAGGTCATATATACACATGGTCAAGTCACAGGCCTGAGGGTTTTAAAGTGTAAAATTCTAATGTGCTTACAGAAGTAAAATCTTTGTGTTGGAGGAGCATTAAGAGGTCATACTTGGCACAAAAGCATTCCAATAATCAAGAGTATTAAAAGGGCAATCAATCTTTGAGAGATAATGGCTGAGTTTTTAAAAAGTTCCCATTTAATAAACTTGTTGGAATGACCAAAGTTATATGCAGCTTTTTTTATGTATTATACATGTTCAATTGAATTTTATCAAGCCATGACATATGGAAGGTCAAGGATAGGGCAACATAATTGACCAAAACTGTATAAAGACATGTCAAACTTCCTTGTGTATTGTTGAATCAATTTTGTTCCAATCATGATTTTTATCAGGGCTAGGATGGGGCTACATTGTTGTTTATTTTTAGAAAAGCAAATATATAATGTGTTTCGATCCCCTCCCCCAATTATACCCTTGTTTATTACTACATGTATTTGATAAGTTGCCTTGAACCATTGTAAAAAAAATTATAATGCAATGTTTGATAACATATTAATGGACTGAATATATTTGAATTTGATGGTTTAAAGTTACTGACTCAGTAAGAAATTGACCTTGATGAAAGACATTGACTTAAATAACTATTTACATTAACATAAAAACATTGATTTTTAAGGAGGAACAGCTGTAGGGACAGGACTAAATACCAGGATTGGTTTTGCTGAAAAAATTGCTGCCAGAATTGCAGAGGAAACTGGTAAGATTACCATTTTTATTTTCAGCCATTACAATAACGTACAGAAAAAATCTATTCCACATTTCAAAAAATGTTGTTTTCATCATTTGTAAATGAAAAATGTTTATATGTGAGTTATGTACACTGCTTAAACCTTTATAGACAATTGATTTTTTTTTTTACGGAAGTATTCTTTCACCCATAGGGTTTCCTTTTGTGACTGCTCCAAACAAATTTGAGGCCTTGTCGGCTCATGACGCCATGGTGGAACTTCATGGAGCTCTGAATGTGTTAGCCTGCAGTCTTATGAAAATAGCCAGTGACATCAGACTTCTGGGGTCAGGGCCTCGATGTGGAATCGGTGAACTTTCTTTACCTGAAAATGAGGCTGGGAGCAGCATTATGCCAGGTAAACTGACAAAATGTGTTCTCAGTCCATGGACTGTAAGGGTTTTCATTTTACTGTCATTGAATTTTATTGATGACTTGAGCATGTTGGAGATTGTAGCAGCTACATAAACTCTACATGGTGCTGCATTCTTAAATTATACACAAAGAAAGCTAAGTTAAATAATTGAGGCTACATGTATGTACCAATGCCAAGATAGCGACCTAAGTTACCACTTTTCATCACACCTGATATTTACATAATCTTGTGTTTTCTTCTTTCTGCTTGACTTTCTTTACCTTTGTTCCAAAAATTGATTACTACTGGACTGTTTTCAAGATCATAGCAGCTAGCCTAGTTGCTAGGTTATGAATTAACACTTGTTATCCTTAAGGGGATGAAGGACACATGGTCACATGACTTTGTTTAACTACATCATAGTCCCCATTTATATAAGTGCAAAATGTGTAAAGCATCAGTTCTTGTATAAATTTTTGGCAATTTTTTAACTCTAATTACTATCTTATTTAAAAAAAAATTAAAGTTTTAAAATTCTTGTAAACATTAACAAATTATGAAAAAGATTGATCCACTCCTCTATTTCCCTAAACTGCAGTTCCAACAAGTTGGTGATGTCATACATGATCTATCGTACTCGGTGAAAACAGGGGCTGTATTATTATGTAAAAACAGATCATAATCAGTATATGATGAAATATTTTGAGAAACGGGGAACACAAAAATTATTTTTGCATGGCTGATGATGGAAATCTTATGTAGGTATATCTTATTTCGCTTATTAAACTTACGTGTGACATCATAGTTTGTTTTTCCCGTAACCCTCGAGAAACGAGACACGTTTTTGTCATGCTTATCTTAGGTCTTTAACAATGTCCTGTGAAATATTGAGGTCAGCTTCACCATTTGAAATTTTTACAGTTAATCAATAATTTGAAAGATTTGCATTTCAACGCAAATAAAAAAAAATATTGCATGATAGAATTTTTTTGGAAATTAAGTTTTTTATTGTTTAAGTTGTCTTAAAAAGTGCATAATTTTCCTTATCCAGATGCAGTGTGATAGAAGAAACTTGCTTTTTCCATTTTTAAAACCCTATTCATACTCTGAAATATTTTAAAAGATATATGTCCACTTTAATATTTTTTATATATGCTTAAAAATTCCCAATATGGACAGAGTAATGAGCCAAATCTCCAAAATAAAGTTAGAAACTTAATGATGTAACTGCTTTAAGATATGTTTGACATTCTTAATTAAAAACATACAAAATATGAAAAAAATTGAATGACAAGTTTTTCACAGCTTAAGGTCCTTCTCCTCCTTAAGTAGGGCTAGCCTCATCTTCTTTCCACTTCATAGAGCTCTCTTAGCAATACCTATATACATGTACCAGCTAAGATCTTAAATGAAGCCCTGTTCATCTAAAATCCAACACCTAGTGGCTAGTTAGTGGCAGTACTTGAAATCCAAGTATCTAATACTTAAGGGCTAGTATAGGCAATAAGACTTGAATGAACCCTGATATATCATGACTTAAAGGAAAAATATCTGTAGCTTTTGATCTAGAATGTAGAAGCTTAAATTTAAAAGAGGGTAATTTTTCTCTTTTTATTTTTAAAAAAGCCTGTAAAATTGAATAGATTTTCCTTAATCTTGTTATATCAAACATATGGAGACTTTTAACATTAATGTATTTCCAGGAAAGGTAAATCCTACACAGTGTGAAGCTGTTACCATGGTAGCAGCTCAGGTGATGGGAAACCATGTTGCTGTGACGGTGGGTGGAAGTAACGGCCATTTTCAGTTGAACGTATTCAAACCAGTGATTGTCACAAATGTTTTACAATCTGTTCGCCTGATAGGAGATGCGTGTGTATCATTTTCTAAAAACTGCATCGAAGGAATAATTCCCAATACTGAGAAAATCAACAAACTTCTAAATGAGTCTCTAATGTTAGTCACTGCCTTAAATCCACATATCGGATATGATAATGCGGCTAAAATTGCCAAACATGCGCATATCACAGTGACCACCTTGAAGGATGCTGCTGTTTCATTGAGGTTGTTGACTGCTGAGGAATTTGATGTCAAAGTACAACCAAAAGACATGCTAGGACCAAAGTAATAGTAGCCTCAGAATTTTGAACAATATTGTAGATAACGCTGAAACATATGATTAATTGGGGGTCAAATTTATTTATAATAGATTTTTCTTCTACTTTGCAATTTTTTTTAATGCAGTCTTCATCTACTCGTATTGTTATGTGATATTTTTGAAAACCTTGATATTTGATTGATATTACCCTGGGACTTTTGTTGCCAATTATAATGGAGGTTTAGTAGCTGTTTTACCCCCAGTTTAAATATCATAATTACAAAGTGTGTCATTAAGGTCGTATGAAACATACATATGTACTTAACAATGTACCTTTTCCTCTTATAACTCTCCAAGATATTCTTAATTTAAAATCACAATACCATTAGATTTTCTTGTACAAAAAAATCAGTGTTTTGAACAGATATCTAATTATAAAAATCCCTGTATATTTTTTAATTTAAGAATTATATTAAAAATAGTTTTAGCTGGTAATTCCTCAACATTTGATTCAGAAAGGGTGTACAAGATTACCAGACATCATAACATCCTTCAATTATTGGAACTCTTAATTTGTACAGGGAATAAGAAAATAAAGTTCAAAACTATGTTGTGTATGTCCTTAAAAACAGATTTCATTATTAACTCACATTTAAGAGGAAAACTCCTAAATAAAAATCTTTATCGAGTGAATGTACTGTTAAGGCCACTTGATATAACCCCCCCCCCCCCCCCCCCCAATCATGAAAATAGACACTTTTACTATGTTTATATAAGTAAAATGAATAAGTTTAGCCACATAAATTTTCCTTTTCTTTTGGAAATCTTTTTTTTCTTTTAGAAAAAGAAAAAAATGAGAAATTTGATAAATAAGAGACTCCATGAATAGAGACTCCAATAGAGGCATCCATTAATTTCCTCAATTCTACATTGTTATCATTTCAATGTTTACAGTATGTTGGTCTTTCAGTATACTCAACCCATCAAAGAGATGAATTTAATATAAGTTTGTAACTTTTATAACCAAGAAAAATAAGGGTATTAGAAACTGTGTTTTGTATGTGTACTCGATATATATATATATACATATCAATTAATTCAGTTATAATGGTATGAAGTGCCTTTTGATGTTACATTCCATGAGTGTAGGACAGTTGTCTCTCTTTGAACCAGAACTCTCTGTGAAACATTTTACATTTTTTTTCATTAATACAAAATATGTTAGAAATTAAACAGAAATCATGCATCTTCCCAAGTCAAGGGTTTCTGATCCACTCCGCTCCACATAAATTCACGTTTATGTGGAGGAGCGGAGTGGATCAGAAACCCTGGACTTGGGAAGATGAAAGGAAATAAACCCTGTGGTTACAAAATTTCCATTGCGTTTTTGAACTGAACAAAACTGTGTTTAAATAAAGATGATTTTTGGTTTAAATATGTGATTTTTCTTTTGATATCGTTTTTAAATTATAAAACATAGAGACATGATTTGACATTTTTAATGATAATGACCAGACTATTCTTGCTTCCTGTTTCAGATTATACATGTTGATTTAAAGGTTGTGGAAGATTTTTCGACATACTCCAGTTACTTATGGAAAGACGTTCATTATCTTGTCAGAAGCTTATCAGTCTAGTATCGTCTCGTTGTTCATTGTTAGGGGAGTTAAAAAAAAAAGGGAAAGTGCCAAAATATCTTAATATCCAGGTCTTTTTATATGCAAGTATTTATCACCTGTCACATCCAAACTTCAATATGCTTACTCAGGCGGTATATTTATAGTCATTGGTGATATCATGTTATGGTTCGTGTCGAGAGAATAAAAAACGATCAAGTTCGTCTCGATCTTTGATACCCCTAACTTAAAACGCCAAGGACGTAAATCTGTACATACAATCAGAAACGAAACATGAGCATGTATGTCGCTTTGGCGCCCGGTTGGAAGAGTTGATGTCAATATTAACAGAGTATTAACGCTATCATCGTTCAGTTAGCTTGATACAAGCTTCATAGTCAACATCCGCAGCGGAAAGCAAAACAAACGCGTTTCTAAATGAAGCAAAACACCCACTGCATGCAACGTCATTTGCATCGTTTACGATCGCTTTTTGTTTTGATTGAGGGGGGCTTAATTTTTTTATTTTGTTGATAAATATGTCAAAATATTGAGCGGTAAGGGTGGAACAAAGATTTGATAAGGGCAATAGACAGGCAGACCCCCAGAAACCTTCGATCCCTTATCATCGAAACTTTATAGGTATAAAAAGGCTATATATATACTACGTCACGTGCTTTATACAGGAAACGTTTTCTATAATCACAAATCCATTATACTGTCTGTAAAAAAAATAAGGTTGTGCTCTTCTTAAATATTGAAAAAAAGAAATGGCAGACAAGAGGTATATACTGTACTTTTGGCATCGTTAATCGCCTACTAATCTTGCAGATTTAGACCATTTCACAGTTGGTTTAGGGAAATATATGGAACTTGTGTTAAAAATCAGATGATATATCAATTGAAATCAGCAGGAAGCTTGTGTTTTACAAGCTATCTTCATTGAAATAAATTATATAAATTATGTAACACTTTGTAGGTAAAGAAGATAGCTTAGAGTTAGCATGTTGTCATGGACTAGTAAAAATTCCGAAATTCTTTAGGTATAAAGTAAAGTGTATTATCGCAAAATTTTTTTAATGGCAATCTTCAGTCGTACATGTTTCGATAAAACAATGAAAAGAAAGAACGGCGATGAACATCCTAATCTGTAATGCTTTTTATCTTTCAAGAGGTAGTGAATTTTGTGACCTGTTTCTTGCAGGAATCTTGTGCATGTAAAAGATTTCAATAGTACAGGGGAAACAAGATGAAATATTCAACACGAAAATAAAATAATCAAAATAAGATGTCGGTTGTTTTTTTCGACGTAGATATATCTGTGATGATTAGCGATATCACATGCATCGTAGATCAGACAAACCAAAGGGTCCGTTCTGTTCTCCTATCTGGGCTTATCTCGTGACGTGTCACAGATTTATCGTTACCAGAAAACCCAATATTGTATGTGATAGCCGTCAATTCTTATGGTGCCATTTGGAAGATTTTACTTCAAAGTTTTATAAAATTGACGACATTTCTGTCACTTTCAAGCCAAACAGCGTGTTTCCTAATCTCTGGACCATCGAAAGAGAGAAATTCGTAATCTCGTGTGCTCTTGTTATCTATCCATTTTCATCAGTACGCATCCAGACGATGTTTACTTCAAGAAACTCGCGAAAATACATTACGCAAATGTCATGGAACCTTGTGTAAGCTAGTAGTATCTTTAAGCATCCCAATTTGTCTAATAGATAAGGATCTCACAGGTTGCTCTGGTATCTAGATATCTAACATTTGTTGAAGAACCTAATTAATATGACATTATATTAGATGAATTAAAGAAACCATGCTCTTGATGAATATAAAGTTCGAAAAACGCAGCTGACATGATAACCAGCAAGATTTTTAAATCGAACACACGCCTTTTACATCCGACAAAAAAGAAAAAAACAGGAAGTTTCACAGCAAGCATAACCTTTGTTTAAAAGACGAGTTTTCTGCAAAAAAGATAAATCACATAAGGTATAAAACGTAATCAATCAAATAAAATTTGTTTTAATGTGCAGTGCGTGCAGTTGTTGCACCATGTCGACTTTAGGATCAGTCGCCGAACTCTTTAAAAACGCGTGCAACACGTCTGCTACTACACGTTGAAAATGGTTTTTTCTGCTCAAAAATCCAAAATTAAAGATTGGAGAATGCAAAAAATGTAAAATTTTAAAGATGAACGTTTGAGTTATGCCGTCTTTGTCATGTCTAAATTTTTGAAAGATCGTATAAGAAAGGAAAGAACAGGGAAAAAACACACAGAGGTTTTAAGTCTTATTTTGTGTAAAACGTTAAAGTCAAAACATGACGGATTTTAGATTAGTGATACTTTCAGTGAAAGCCCGATCTGGACATTCCACAGCTTTGCTAGCGCTCACGTGTTGACTCGCGACGAATGTTTTAACGTCAAATGTATCTACGAGTTTTCTTCATCCCCCAACCCCAAAATCTACAACATGCATGGGCGTGGATCCAGGGGCGGGGGTTTAGATCCTCTTTTTCAGACAAAGAAAAAAAACCCCATACATACTTATGAGAGGTCAACAAAGGGTTCATAAAAGTATTACTGATTAGGAAGTCTAAAAACTGTCTACAGGTCTCACAAAATGGGAGGAGTGAGTTATTAAAACTGTCTTAACGATCGTGTGATGGGAACCCCCCCCCCCCCCCTTCTAGTGGTGGACATCCTCCCTTCATAGATTCCTGTTATTCGCTTATGACATGAGTGCCTGTTTTGCCTTTTTTCCAGCGAATTCTTCCACTTTTTAAACTCACCTTTCTGTGGTGAATAACTAGAAGTTTGTAAACATTTTATTTTCATGATTTTGTTTGACCCTCTTTTCAATTTTATGTGCTTACATTTTCTCTTCCATATTAGTTTAACATAAAATTCTCAGTAAATTAATGTTTAAAATGCCATATTTTACAATGTTTATTATGGACTGTAATCTTTTCCCAAATATTTCGCTTAGTGGTGCCCATGATAATTTCTCTATTCAATTTAAATCTGATATTTACCTTTTCCTTGGGTAAAATAAAATAAGGTCAAATGAAAAACTACACAGTCTATGAATCTCCAAAAAAAAAAAAAATTCCTTCAAACATGGGCAATCATATGGTAGTTTCATGATTCAAGTACATATGATTATAAATAAATTATTTAAACCTGAAAATGGACATTTTAATCTTTAGAAACCGCTATCTAAATGAAAAATCTTTTTCCATGATGCTGATTCTCGTTTGGATGGGGGTGGGGGTCCAAAAAAAAGATGTGTAAACAGTTTTTCTTTTATTACAAATGCATGAAATACAATAACTATTAACAGAAACAAATTGTTTACAATCTTGACAATATGGTGGACGGTCATGTAAAAGGGGGAGACAATCAAGTCCACACACACAGGTAAAAGAGAATGGCAGAATAAATTTTACAGGTAAAGAGAAAATTCATCTGAACACACTTGGAGAAAAAAACTACTATTCTATATAAACATGATAAAATAAAAGAAGGTTTTTGTAATCTTACATAGACCAATTCAATTCTCTTTTAAACAAAGCCAGAAATAACAAATTATAATCAAGCAATATGTGTAATTTTAACAATAGTATATTACAAATGCTTTCATAAGTTTATCTACTTCTGAACATGTGAAAAAAAAAAATAAATATGAAAAAAAAGATTGGTTTTAAAAAGCAGAGGGTATTTTTCTCATAGAAAGCATAAGACTATGATTTTTTTTTTAAATTGGTCCAATAACATTTGAAGTTCATTGTATGAAAACAAAAAGTTGATAATGATTTCAAGAGATATCTATGTAATCCACCAAAACCATGCAAAAATGTCCGAGTTTTTTCTGTATTTGAAACAATAATTTTGAACAATTTGTTCAGTCTTGATAATTTTTCCTTTTTGAGGTAAATATATTTGCTGAGTGCAGAAAGCACCTAGCAAAAATTGTTTTCCACCATTACAGAAGAAAAAAAAAGGTGATTAGATGCACTTGTTAAGCTTATAGTTTGTATGGCACGAAATGGGTAAAATGTATGAATATGATGAATAAAGAAAACGATAGAACAATAAATGAAATTATGCATGTAATTCATTATAAAACCAACTTTATGATAAAACAATCTCAACAAAGAACATCTCCCTATTACTGTTACAGGAGTACAAAATGCATGTTTTGATCAAATTGTTTAAGGATTTTAATGTACATTTTTTTTTCTTTTCTAAAGGGTGATGGGAGAATGTCAGTTAAAAATAAGTGAATTTAGAAAAAGATAAATATTTCTTTTTGTTTACCTGAGGGTATCTTTCATTGTGTTTTTTATGCAAGTATACATGTATGATACATACTGTATTTTATATACTTAAATTACTCAATGACAATATAATACACTATACCTGGGCAAATGCATGGATTTATTTATAACATTCTTCAAAGACTATGAAGACACTATATGAACAGAATTCCACTTCTAAAATTTTGGAAAATGAATAAAAATGTTACAAGCGTGAGGAGGTCACTAATCAATTGGCACTGCACTTTCAAAGAATAACATGATTTTTTAACTTGGAAAAAATTACAGTTGTAAAACTCATTCAAGCAATTAAACTTCAATAGGATGTTTGCAATTCCTAATTCTGAACAACTTTACCATTTTCACCCCTCATAAACACCATACTGTTGCATTTGAAAATGAATTGTTTTTCAAATCTTAATTTCCCTCCTACATTTATTATACATGTACTAAGTGTATTTGCGGAACTGTCAATAAAATATTGTTAAAACTAAGAACCATTGAGAAATAAATTCGGTAAAAGATGGGTATCAATAGAGAGCTACCATTTAATATGATGATGCATGTATAGACATTTTAAAAGGATCAGATACGAATCAATCCTACAAAAGGAAATAATAACAGATTACTTCTGGATAAGAAGTCTATAAATCTAAATGCATAAACATAAGTAATGATATTAAATAAATTTTATGCTATCATTTTTTGAACAAATAGAAAAAAATCAGTTGTTTAATGTAATTTGGACATGCTTGTTTTCAGGGATGATTGGGGTGAATATGGTATACATGTAGTTCTATATACATGTACTTTGAGTTACATTTAATTTTTCATTTATTTGCATACATTTTTTGAAAGGCAAATAGATATTTTGTTTAATTGAATTCTAGCTCTGGTAAATGTTTTATTCTTCAGCACATTAGTATTGTTTGAAATGACCCTGAATCAATGGGGGAAAAAACCCGGGTCAAACACTGCCAAAATTCAGAAACCTACTGTTAATTATGTAGGATGTGGTGTAAAAAAATGTACTGGCCCTATAGTAATAAACACATCATATGGAGAACATTCCTCCAACAACAAAATAATTACTATTGCAAAATATAAATATATATATATATATAAATATTTACAGACCAAACAATGACATATTTTTAAAAATAAACGTAATCACAGCAAGCCTCGTTAAAGATGATTTTTTTTAGTGTTTCTAGAAGCACACACACAATGTGCTGTGCTAGCTGGTACACTGGCTCGAAGCACACATAAGCACAATAGTGCTGGCACAGTGAACACAGTTCCTCAACACTGGGCTATCACAGTCCATAATTACTGCACAATATTGAGCAGTTCACTTCATGGTAAAGTCAACAATAAAGACAACTATTGCACATTCTGAGGAGAATGTTTCCCTCAATTCATATACGTCTTTGTGCAGTTTCATGTCAGTGTCATTAATTTTTTCATACTAGAAAACAGAAAAAGTAGATTTTTTCTATAGCTATGATGAGGTTTCTGATTCTGCCCCTTTCATATACCACTGATCTGAATTCTCAATACACACAACAGTCACTGGGTCTGTAGCTATGGTAACTGTTTTCTGGGTCCCAGATCGACTGGTACCCGGTGAATTGGTTCCCGGTCTCCGTGATGATTGCCCAGGAATAACTCTGTGAGCAGATGGTCTTGTGTTGAGCAGAGACATAGTGTCCGAATCATCAGATTTAGGTGAACTACTGCTTTCTGATGTTGACAATGGAGCATCTATATTATCTAAATCTAAATAATTTCTATCCCTGGACAACAACTGTTCTATCTGAACTCTCAGGTCTGTGAAATTAGGACGCTCTGATGGACTCTCTATCCAGCATTGACGCATGATGGTATATCTAAAAAGGAGTATTGCAAAAATAAATTGACACACTCTAAAACTAATGAATGTTTTCAATCACTGAATGATTAATCTTAATTTTGAGTTTTACTGCATTGGTCACATTTTTCAGATAAGTGCTTTGAAATTCTTTGTTGAGATTCTACCTCCTGCTTGATCAGTTGCTTTGCATCAAATACCCCTCAAAAACCATGACATATCTTGTTTTGTCAGTAAGAAAAATAAAGGGAAAAATTCGAGTATTTCATTCAAATACTGATAATGCAAGTGCAGACAACATTTCTTAAAGCAAAAATATCACATACTCAGATAAAAGATCTTTGAAATTCTTGAATTTGCCCCTGAGTTGACAGAGCTAAGTAAATACAAACGTGTTCCCACAACAGTATCTTAGATAAAGAAAAATATAACACCTCTTAGTATAAACTGTTTGATCCTATGTACAGCCATGTCTTTTTAAAGCACGTCTGCACAATTTCAAATGACTGACATATCTAAAGAGTGCAAAAAAGTCAATCTCTATATATGCTCCCTTATTCTTCATTATTGAAATTTTTGAAAAAAAAAGGGGGGGGGGGGATAACTGCTTTAAGAATCCATATGCTGCAAAAATAATTTTTATTTTCACTCTTTAACAGAATTCTTCTGTAGTATGATTTGCCTTAATTTTGCAATATATAGAAAAGATGGGATAACAAAGCAGGTGTCTGGATATTAAGTGGGTTTGACTGTTTTGGACTTACAAGAGTGCTATCATATAGGTATATGTACATGTTATCTTAATCCAATATACACCTACATCCTGTTTGCAAAAGCCTTGGTGGAGATACAAGTTCATTACAATTAAATATCCCACGAACTCACAACCTGAAGTCTATTTCAAGCCCCAAAAAACAAACTGATAAAATGCTAAGATATTAACCGGAAAAGAACTTAGATTCTAAAACTGATGAAAATCATAGTAGGGCGTGACCATTTATGCATTATTTTCTTTTTAAATATATCTTATTGTTCGCATCCTGTCTATATCTCAAGGATATTAATGCTTTAATTGAGAGAATAATAAGAATATATAAATGAAATCTCTTCTACATTATATTATTAAAATTGTCTGAATTCGATGCTTATGTAATGTCTATTACTCTTATGTAATAAAAATTTAATGCATTATCAGATTTCCCTCAGCAATAAAGTTGATCATCATAAAATACATATCCTTGTGCTGTGAACCCTTTCTCATACATGTATCTTATGAATCAAACATCTTTATGACCCCATATTTCATTGCACATTCAAGGTGCCAAATTACGTTACAATGTGATTGCAGCTTGTTCAAAAACATTCCACTTGGCAAAGGATCTGATACAAAGTGGACCCCAAAAAACTGAGACCTTGATAGAAGAACTAGGAAGAGAGATACATGTAGGGGTGATAAGAGATGAAGAGTACAAGAAAATGATGCTGAGTGGAGGTGACCTTGACAAAGGGAGGGGAAAAACTGCTCGAAATTAGCAGAAACAGCAGCCAAAACAAAGTAAAAAATAGGGGCATAACAGCTCATCAGGTAGATACATAATTTGTGCTAAACGCTCGCTGGTGACATTTTGAGGTTGAGGAATAAGGAGGTTCTGTCTGGAAAATTTTCAATGCTGACAACAAAAGAACAATACAACTGACAAATTTATAGTTTCAGTAGAGAGATTTGCATACATAGTTTGAGTTTTGTTGGGATCCACACCTGCTGAGAAATTTTATCACATTTCCTGTGTAGAAGGAGGATATAGTTCCCCCACCTTGTCAGTCTGTCTGCCAAAATTTTCATCAGTCAAAATCAAATTGAGTTAATTTGAAGAGGTCTAATACACTGTTTGATAGCTGACAAGGTAAACAAACCAGTTCTAAAGTCATTGAGCGCAGATGGGGGAAATGTTTGAAGACACAGCAATTGAAAAACACCCTAATCCAATTAGCTGTGAAAGAGGATAGAGATAAAAATATATGTTTCAGATGATAGTAGGCCAGTATGGTGCCTCTTTACCCATAATGCACTGCCTGAACCAAACAACACTGGGTTTGACCTTGATAATGAGGGATGACCTCCAGCATCTGCTTCTAATGATTTGAATGATGTAATAAAATGTTTTTTTTTAGATACATTTTTTTTTACTTACAATTCAGATGAACAATTACTGGGTTTCTCCATCCTGTATCCATTGGCTAGAACATAGTAAAGATCTGCTAATGCTATGTTTGGGTATGGGGAGCCACCTGTCAAAAATAAAACAATTTATTGACAAGGAAACCTGACATTGTTAAGCAGTTTTGTTAGGATTACAGTAAATATTTACTAATTTTAAAAATTACTGTAATCCTAAATCCTAAAAATTACAGTAAATTTTCTCCCATGAAGTTTGAGATAACGAGGTTTGACTGTATATAACTTTTTCATAAAAACATGCATTTCATTATTCAAGTAGCTGTGTTTGCTTTAAACATGTAATTTAAAATCACTGCAGAAAATGAAATCTATGTTTTTATTGAATGTATAATGTATTTACATGCACGTAACATAAAAACATGCATTTCATTATTCAAGTAGCTGTGTTTGCTTTAAACATGTAATTTAAAATCACTGCAGAAAATGAATCAAATCTGTGTTTTTATTGAATGTATAATGTATTTACATGCACGTAACATTGCAACCCTCCTAAATATGCACTATGTTTCTCTTACCCATTGTGATGATCTCCCACATCAAGATGCCAAAGGACCAGACATCACTCTGGGTGGTGAAGATGCGGTCCCTCAGGGACTCGATAGCCATCCACTTGAGGGGAAGCTTGCCACTGGTTATTTTATGATATTGGTTGTCATTATAAATGTCCCGCGACAGACCAAAGTCACAGACTTTAACAATTTTGTCGTAACCCAGAAGGACGTTTCTGGCTGCTAAATCACGGTGAACATATTTCTTTGCTGCCAGGTATTCCTAAACAAAATGAAAGTTGATTTAAGAAAACTTATTTTTAATTATGATGGAAGAAAAATTTACTTGCAAAAATATTCTCCATTTCTTGGTGAAAATTAGTTGTGTACTAGTATCTCACAAAGAACAGTCATTAAGAACTTGAAGAACAGACGTTACTTGTATTCAATTAAGAAGAAACTTAAATATAACCCAAACATGAATTTAGTTTTAGTGACGTATCAATATATCTGAAAAATGAAAATTCTGACAGAAAAAAACTTTGCTAAAAATTATATACATTATACATGTATTTTAATGCACCTAATTCATATACAAGTTTCTATAATTGAACCTAAACTGTCTAACTTCTATTGAATAAATCTAAAAAGCTCTCATTGCTTAACCATCTCGTCTCTGGTGAACTCATGAACCCAATAAAATCAAACAAAGGATACTCAAAGTTTGATAAAAATATGATAAAATTCCTCAAACATAAAACACAGTCTAAATATGTAATATCAGTTGGCAGGCATGACTTTGGAAGACATGTTAAAACAGCCTCTGTCCAATATTTTGGTTGAATTTGGGGAAGATCTGGCCTGGTATTTTGATTGCTTTGATTTTATCTCCACTGTTGTTGATAGAATGTGTAGTAAAACTTTTCAAGATCACAGGCAAAACAAGTCTAAGAATGCTGAAGACATAATTTGGCAACAGCACCTCTCCTATATTTTAAGCTACACTGATAGGGATGAGCTTTGCATGTCCCCTTGGTACTGTGAAGTGCGTTTGATAGTTGGAGATTTTCTTGTTTGAGGTTAGAATGAAGATGAGATAAAGCTAAGTCGAGAAATTCTCAAGAGTTCATACAAATTGTGGTTAAGGAATGTAGGTCAATCAGCTAAAAGTGTTAAACTTCGATATTGGAAAAAGTTATACATATACCTCATCATTAATATGATTAAAAGACAAGCTTCCTAGTAAGAACAGAACACAATCATGATAATGTGTCAATTAAAATTGGTTATATGGGACATAAAAATTATGAAAGAACACCTATAACTTTTTCAACTAATATATAAAATCCTTTTATAATATTCAAGAACACATCAAATTGACCAGTGTGCACTACATGTTAGACAATTGAGATAATTTTCTGATGTGAATTCAGTTAAAGTACATGTAAACTAACCATTGCCATGGCAGTTTGTCTGGCGAAGGACAACATGTCCGCTGGAGTTATAACACCACTGTCAATACCCCCACTCTCATCCATTAGGGAGTATACCACTTCACTGGGACGGCCTATACGCTTCTGGAAATCCCCTTCTAAACGACACTTTCTGCAAGACAAAATATAAGACAATGCTACGATTATGTGAGCACACTCTGAGTTCCAAATGCTAATACATGCTTCACCCATTTTCAAGAGTATCTGACATTCGATCAGCATTTTGAAAGCAAGGAGTCAATAGGTATAATAAACCACAAAAAAAACTTACTTAATTTTAGATAATCTTTATTATAAATATCTGCAGTAATTAAAAATAATTCTTCTAAAATTGATGTTTTACATCTGGCAAAATCTGAGCCAACACAGACAGGAAAAATTATCAAAGAATCTACAACTGGCTGGAGGTTTTAGGTAGGAAATTATCAATGTCTGACAAAAACAAAAATCAGAAGACTTCAGAATTAAAATGACTTGGTCTTCAAATAATAACTAGGAATCTTTTGATATTTATCTAGAAGCTGAAAGTAAACAACTGACAGATTACAAAAATAAGTTCCTAATAAGCAGGATTTTCTCAGCCCCTCGGCCTGATTTAACTGCTCAAATTTGTTAGTTCGAATTGTTCCAGTTTTCAATTACAAAAACCTTGAAACAAATTACTGCTAGACAAAATTTTTGTATTACTTGAACTCAAGAGGGATGCATTGATTAAAGAACATTACAAAATAAAGATCTAAAAGAGCTCAAAGATCTCATTACATTAATGTACATTATTACGTAATCTAATACATTGCATTATTACTTTTTAACAGGTACATATATAGTTTTAAGGATATACATTTGGATTTCAAATTACATTTACATTTTGAAATTTAAAAAAAAAGATTTTTTTTTACATCAACATGGCACAGTAGCGCTATTAGTAGCCATCTAATGGCAATGTTTATGCTACAACGTGCAATTTCTGAAAGTTTTTGCACAAAAAAAAGTTCCTTCTGTCAAATCTGCTATTATTGCTCAACCTGTAGAATTTAATGACATTAAAGGATTAATTTTTCTATTCCTTCCTTTTTAATTTCCTTGTGTCCTGCATAGGGATGTCAATTTTGTCAATAATTCATATTCGAATATTCAATGAAAGTATTCGAATATATTCGAATATTCGATAAAAAAAATAAAATCTGTTTTATTTTAAATATGCATCATCCTTCTTTCATGAAAGGTTTAGCGTAGGTATACTTATATTGAAAGTAAAATTGTATGAAGACTTTTGTAGGTGTACAATAAAATTCCATTTGATGTTTGTCAATGTTTGAAATAAACAATTGATTTAAATGTAGAAAGGGATAATTTCAACAAATGAAACGTGTATATATAGTAGCTATACAACTGAGGAACCAGTCGTCTTACCAAAGGCAAGATAGTCGTAACGGTATACTGTTCAGATTTCAATACATGTAATAAATTACAATTATCTACCTAATAAGAGATATGATTATAATCTTTGATAAAATGTTTTTAAAATATAATCAAATATTTCCATAGACAATTTTCCTAGGTAATTAACTAATTTCCCGATAATGAATATAAAACTCAGGATTTTGTACAACCCGAGATAATCAAGTAATTTACACATTTATTCTGAAATTGAGCCCTCTACAATATTAATTGCAGACTAATTCTATATCGGACATTCATTTAATGATCAATTAAATTTGTTTAGATAAGTATGTATACTCTTCACTTTTTAGACATTCAAAGAAGGTTTTCATTTTGTTGTCCTCTATTCTAGATCTGATCGTATTTAACTTATGAAAACTATGAAAGTAAGTTCTGTATTATACATAAAGCATTAAATTATTGTACAATTCATTAACACCTTACTCAAAACAAAATACATGTAATTTAGTAGATTCATAAGATAAGAAAGTACTGAAAGAAATCAGGCGATTGAAATTTATCGCTAGTAAAGTAAACAGGGATAATTCCAAAATTTATTAATCACATTACTTCTTTTTATGAAATCTGAAAAACACCGAATATTCGAATCTTAAATTCATATTCAAATATCAACTCATCGAATGAATATTCGAATGTTCGAATATTTGTTGCCATCCCTAGTCCTGCATTGAAATTGTTCAAGCAAATTAACAAGCATGAATACTTAACTGCACTCTGGGCTTCTTATCAAAGTTTAGAATATGCAGGTTTCAAAAACTACATGTTTGGACTTTCTTTTTATGAATCATCAAGATACTTGCTTAATTAACTGGAAAGCAGAAACTACAAAAAGAAATGACTACTACACCTCACATCAGTTTTGCATTAACACATTTTGAATTTTTTTTTCCCCATTGATATAGAAGTTTATTTTAAATTCATTTTTATGTTAAAGAAAAAAAAAAGATTTAATTTCTTTGTTGATTCATAAATTTAACTTTTTTTTCAATCCTATTCAATTTATTGATTTACGGATTTATTTATTGATAAAATCAACTTTTTAATAATTATCTTAGCATGCTGACATCTTTAACATTTATCTTGTCTTCACATGACAAAAGTTTGTGGGCTCTTTTGGATTATATACACATAAAGTAAAAGTTTGTGTCACATGGTAAATTCAAATCAACTGTATCTCTTTCCGATTTTTCTACTACATAGTATGTTCCATTAGAATGATATGGAAATCTATCCTGTTCTTGAGATTGGAGGGGGGAATGGGTTACTTATGCTGGGGGTGAGGTTCTAAGGATTTAAAGCCCTAAACCAGTTTGCTCAGCTCTGTGTGTCCAGTAATTGTAAATTTGAAAATGTATTAATTAGAATACGGTCCAAGTAAACCATAAGAAATATATATGTACACTGCATGACCACATGCTAACCGAGTCATGAAAATAGCAATGTGCACTTTCAAATCAAAGCTCATTTTCTGCATGGCATGGAAATCTCGGAAGCTGGAACCCTCCTCTGCCTCTAATGAAATTCAGCACCCCGATTTGTCATATCTGTGCAGTGTGCTGACAGGGTCTCGTGCCAGCCATCAGATATCATAAAGGCGAATCTTACACCTTCTGCAGTCTGCACCGAGTGTGAGGTACATAAGAGAGGCAGCCATAGCTTGAGTGATTTATGAGTCTTGTTAATTTTTGATTATCCTTGGCTGACTGTCCAGTCTGACAGCTGATGAGCAAGAAGGGATGCTACCACTACAAGGAGAATGATGTAGCTCTCCTTTTACTCTCCTAGCATCCATCAAACAAAACAATATATAACCTTGTTACAATGACCAATTAATTGATGTCAATTGCTAACATTCACTCCCACTATCTATTTAGAGAATGTTCCTATTGTTTACAGTTAAAAAAAGAAAGTATTTATGATTTGTTTTAGTATTGTTTATTATGTCAAAATTAGCATTAAGTAGAGAGAAAGATTTGCAATTCATGATCTGTTTAGCAACATTCAAAATACTTCAATATACTTCTTTTATTAGCACTGTATAAACTCAGGGCAAGAGGAGTTTATTATGCATGGATCTAATAAGTCTGCATTTTATTAGATTGAAAATATTTCTATTTTTAAAATGTTATCCCCAAAACAGCTGCCAATTCAAGAGAGTCCAATAAATTACACAGGGGGTCTAATACAGTCAATTTGATGCATAGGAAATTCAAGATTTGTTTTGTTCTTGTAGTACATCTTACATGACAAACAAAATCAAGCCCTGTGCACTGATGCTCCCAGTCTTAGATGACTTTACCACATGTTAGTGAGCTTAAGTTTAAGTGCAGACTTTGAACAGATAAAGGGTACCTGGTAATATGTCATCGAGTAGCAGTTCAAAACTCCTCAACCATGCAAAACATGGCTGCACAGTCATTAAAGTGCATAGTAAAAAAAAAAAAAAAAAAAAAAAACCGAGGGTTAAGCCAAAATGTTTTACCCATGCTTAATTACTTGTTGAACCTTCAAGAACAATTACTTCAGCATTTTTGCTTTTCATTATCTTTCTGAAAAAATACTTTCAATCACTTTTCTGAAACAAGTCCAATCGCCATAAATACATTGCCAATTGTTAAAGGTAAAATGAAAGCTAATTATTCTGGAACCAGATTGATTAAAACAGAGGAGCCCTACAGACAATGCATAATTTCTAACTATGCATGAAATTAGGGGCTCCCATGATCAGAAGCTATAAAGATAACACAGGAACATCTTCTGCGTAAAAAATTTTTTTTCACAGACAAAATTATGACAGGAATATAATAGACGATGGCTACCTTCCACCTGACAATATACGCAAACAAACAGGCACCGTTGCCAAATTACTGTACATCTGCCTATAGCTAAGATTTACTGATCCCATCAATTTATGTTCAGTTAAAACACTTTCTGAGTCTTTTCCTACTCTAAATAATCTGGGCAATCAACAGAAATATCTGGCCAATACATGTAATGTATAAATGGATACAGGCTATTCCAAGGACATGCAGATTTATGTACCATATGTACATTTCATTGTATATAAATTATACTAAGTAGTTCTCTGAGTGGCATTCTGTTTCAAAAGTTCAAAGATTGCAACTACATTTTCAAGTTCAGAGACCTATGTCTTCTTGGAACTCTTTATTTTTTGAATTTTATTGAATTTATTTTCTTAAATTGCAAAGCATTTGGAAAGGTATTTTTTTAAAGATCCCCTGCAAGTTTCGTTATGCAAATTTCATGCATTTCCTAAATAAAATGTTAGATTTGAAAGTTTTTAGTCTTCAGTGAACCCATTTACACCAATTAAGAACCAATTGCTCTCAACTGAAAAATATAATTCTAAAATCAGAATCAATGGCAACTCTCAAGTAGAACTGAGTCCTATTCATGACTTCAACGTTGGGGATATTAATCCCTAAAGATGCATAAAAATGCTTCATTAAAGAAAATCTAATTTTACTGTAAAAGCTGGGGGCATTTCTTGCTCAAAATACACAGAGCCTGTCATCAATAACAAATTTATGTTAAGACTTTTACATGTATTCATGAACAATGGTTGCTGAAGCCTCTTCTTGGATACTGTCATATATAAATATTCCATTAAACAACTATTGCTGAAGAAAATAAACGTACGATCAACAATAGATAAAAAAAAAATGCAATTTATTTTTGCATAAAGTAATTCTTCGTACAAAAATATAGTTCTTAAACCAAATACTGAAAAGTACCGTACTCATGACTAGTTGAAATTACCCAGGTGGTCTAAGTTACACCACCCTATACCCTTGTAAATTGATGGTTTGACAAGTTTAAGTGACCTTGGTGTAAGATGATGAACTGAAGGAAGTTTACAACTCAAATCTACAGAAACCAGAACCCCACTATACAAGATAAGCTTTGGCTGACTTGTGTTTTTTTTTAGGTATAGTGCTAGATAATCCTGCAGAAAATGACAGGATGTATAGTAATGTACTCCATGCCACATCTGTCCTTCAACATACAACACAAGGTCATTCTTGGCACAGAACCATAATTTGGCCTTGGTGACTTTCTAGCTTCTCTTAGACATAAATTTCCAATTCTTAACTTCAATGTTTTAAAGATTTTTCAACAAAACATTTATTTCTCTTCTTTATGATAGTTCTTTGACTTCCAGATCCTGAATACAGTGCTAATGACCATTTTACTAGGATTTGTAAATTTGACATGTAGTATGTTTATTTCATGTTAGCTTTTACATGCAACTCAACAAATATCACCCTTCCCTCTTATTTTCAGATCAATTAACCCTACCCCTTCTAAAAAGATAAAAGCAGCCACTATAGGCATCAGTCAAAAAACACATAAATTATTTAGGGAAAGTGTTAAAAAATTACAATATAAAAATCTCAAGCCAGGAAAAATCAGATGGCCATCAGGTTTTCACCGAGCCCTGCAGGGGGGGAGGGCAATATTATCAGCTATAGGGTCATGTGTTACTGGTATGGCCTGCTGTGGTGATAATGGCCCCAAGTGCAAAACAGAGAAAGGCAAAAAAACTGCACACCACCATATAACCCCCTAGCATAATCATATGGCTGATTAGGATGTAATCTGCTGATGTATCCTGTATAATGTATCTGCTAAAAATTATTTTGATATCAGAATTGTGCATCAAGGCAGGGTTCTTTGCCTGTCTGGCTCAGCAGAGCAGTCAAACAGTAGGGGATAACCAGTGTTGCTTTAACATATACTGCACCAGGCTGGATTTCAGTGGCTGAGCTTTTGCAATATGAAAGTGGGGTAATCTGCCATAGATAAGGCACCTCAAATACAGAACCTTTCCTTGTTTCTATTCCCTTAATTACTGCAAGTGCCACTTTTCTATTACTTTTCAGTACTGCACAACAGATAATTTGAATTACAACTGTGTGTTTGCTTAATTAAAAATGCCTCAGTTCAATTACAATTACCTCATCAATCACCTTCACTGACCCACATTCTTAAGTTCACCTGAACCATATTGGAGAAATTCCCTGGGTAGGGGTCTTATTGCTTTTTTACAGTTTCTTTTATTTCAGGTCCCAGTTAATGAAACAAATATGAGTTGCTGCCTTTGAGAATCAATACCTTCAAACATCCAATATATCCACAGACTTTGACTTGAGAGGGAGACCCCCTTCTAGGCAGGAATTATCAAAGACATTTTCAAAGGTAGCTTCTCTTTTTAGAGTGGACCCAGGTCTCAAATGATACATTTAAATTAGTAATGAATTTTCAACAAAGTACTTAAGTGGAACACTCCCGGAGTGAGATAGTCTACAGACAAAGATGCCATGTCCAATTACTGCCTAAAGAATCTTCCAAGAATAATTTAAGAGTCATGGTCAGCATCATTTAAGTCATCATTTATAATGCAACTATATGTATTCTGTTCTTTCATAAATGCACATAAAGTTAACATTTTTAAAGCACATTTTGCACTATTAAAATACACTGACCAATGAAAAATCATAAACAAATAAAACTGCAATGCATGCATCCAAAAAAAAAACAAAACAAAACAAAACAAAACAAAAACAAACAAACAAACAAACAAACAAAAAATAAAAAATAAATAAATAAATAAAAAAATAAACAAACTGTTGATCAACCCCAATAGCCAAGAATGTCTTAACAAATAGCTTGATTGGTACTTACTTCAGAAAATTTTGAAGGTTTCCATAGGGGACATATTCCATCACCAAAGCTATGGGTTCTGACAGAGTGCAGGCCCCTGACATGGACACAATATTTGGGTGAGAACCGATTCTTTTCATCAAGTTGATCTCAGCCAAAAGATCTTCTTTGTAGGATAAGGGTGCACTATCTGTAAAGTTCAACAATTAAATGTTTTGTGGGAAAAAAACCATCAAGTAAAAAATATACATCTTTATTTATTTCATACAGTTTTCTGAATCATGTTTTTCCTTGCATTCATACCATTTTACATGAGATATTGAAGAGTAAATATACATGTAATATTCTTTTTGAAAGACTATGTATTCATTTAAGCTCACATACATTCGAGTATAACCTAGCTTTCTTGTATTAAAGTTTTACTCCTTTAAGATAGTAAACATAAAAATGACTAAATTGTAAACGTGACAATAACTATCAAAATCAAACTCTTGTGATAAGATTTTCTTATCTTTGAACAAGGAAAAAAAAAGATAGGAACAAATGCATTGAGGCACATCTTCCAGGTTACCAGTTCACAATCATCATTTTGTAATCTTCCACTGGATCATTTAGACTGTGTTGTATGTCATTTATTTAAAAATTATCTGTATATCCCTATCTTATTTCTACCACTCGTACACCTGTTTCCTCAAATGATTTAAAACTACTGTTTATGTAAAAAAAAAAAAAAAAAAAAAGAAAAAAGAAAAGAAAAAAGCAACTAAACAGAGGATTTTTTTTTTCCATGGGCAGAGAAATTTTTATCTATTTGTCCCTAGTTGTTATTAGGTCATATTTTTACCCATTTACTGCCTTGCTTCAAAACTTGCAAAAAGTTTATGGATTTCAATGACATTTTAGATAAAGGTGTATTATAAGTAGCTGAACAAATAAGACCTTTTGAGTCTTATCTGAAAATGCAAGTTACTTTAATATTGCTTGTTTTTAATATACTAGAGAATCATTTTAATTCATTGGGGTCGGGTCAATGTTCATGGACAACTCACTTTAACTGGTTCATGGGGATGTGATTTTGTGGATAACTTATACATATATATATATATATATACAGAAGATTCTATGAAGACACTGACAAAGTTATTGTTCGCGGGGATGTAAAGCGTGACCCACGAAATCTACCAATATTGGTTCCTACCAGAAACTTTATATACAAAGGAAACATAAAAATTGATTCTGAGCTAATTCTATATGGTGACCAGCCTCACCTCTCACTAATTTGATGGCTACTCTTTGGTTCTCATAGTAACCAGTTACCACTTTCCCAAATGCCCCCTGGCCAATAGGACTGCTGAATTTGAGGAGGCGAGGATCCAACTCCCACTCATCGCTAATCACCAGTAACTGATTAGAATAATCTACCTTACCTGTAAAATAAAGAAAAAGTACAGAAAAAAAAACACCTTGTGTATTTGTATCATTTAATTGTTAACTTGTGTATTCTAAATGATATTGCTTTTGATCGGCATTAGGCTGTTTGATGCACTTCATTATATAAAAGTATCCTTGATAACTTGTATTATAAGTCATCATTAGGATAATTAGTTTTCCATGGAAATACTAAAAAACAAATTTTCTCTATATTGTCCCTGTTTTAAACTTATAGCCAATAAATTTTATATCTGAATTTGAAAGTCAATCATGGGAGTTATATATATATCATTCCTATTCCTGTTCAACAAATCATCATGAAATTTAGTGTATTACTATGTTATATAATTTTCTTATTGAAAGTTATTAAACACACTGATGGAAATTGATGACGAAACAGAATTTCTCAAGCTTTCCCGACTAACTCAACTGATGACCATTATTTTCTTACACCATTAATGTGGGATTTACTTAAATATTGCTGCCGACTTTTTTTAAACTATACTCAATTAAGATCTGAAAACTTGGTGTGTTTTTCAATGTTGTTCAAGCAGACTTGCGTAAATGAAAACCCTTGTTTGTGCTTCTTGAATAATCATTTGTGGGTATTTAGTGATTAGGGAAGAAAGTGAGGAAACTAATGAGAATGTGCCAGGCTTACTCCAATTTTTTCCCCATGTTTTCAAACAAACAATTGTGAGAAAGACATAATAATTTGCAATGCTCAGTGTCTAATATGTTTCTAACAAGCGAAAATAACTACCCATTGATTTCAATGATTATAATTGCTCAAAAACATAATTTTAAAGAAATTTTGAAAACACCCAGTTAATTTTTTTCCTAAAGATATTTCAAAATCAGTATCATTTTTTCCCTAAAATAAAAAAAATATATTAAGTTGAAAAAAAAGGAGAAAAAAAACCCCACAGAAGCCAAAGTTTTAAAAGATTCTGCTATAATTATCACATAATAAATGAAAGTTCTTTTTGTAGAAAGAACACTAAAATCAACATGCTTCTAGGTGACTTAGGTCACCTTTATCAGTCGCTGCCAAAATCAAAGGGAGAAAACTGAAGCGAGAACTTCCTCTGCTCTCCAGGATCCACCAAATTCAAGACAATTAAATTCGTGTAAAATTACACGAGCAGGAAAAGGAACTGGAGAGCCAAAGCACCTGAATTCTGTTAATAAGGCCCTGTGCCAAAAACATGGTTGGATGACAAACGTGATTTGTATCCTCTTTATGAAGGCACAAGATTAATTTCTGTAATACTTTCTTGCTGAAATCAAAACTTTGATCTTAAGGTGGTGAGACACGATTTTTAAGCTCCTATCCATCAAGAGTCTGTCTGGTTAGAATATCCCCTAAAACTTTTAACCTTTGAATTATTACTTTTTAGGATACAGGTTGGGAAGATTTATATACATTTATATGAAAAAAACAAACAAACAAATCACCAGTAACCTAATTCTTGTGCATAATGCACTGACCCCTTCCAAACAGTGTGAGCAAAATTAATTACATGGAGCTGCATGAATAAAAAACGAGAAAAATAATGCCTAAGACTTAGTAATGAATTCACTTATATACACTTTCAAAGCTTTCTCATTAAGAATATTCAAAAGACCACAAAAAAAGGAAGAAAAAAAAAAGAAGAACAAATAATACGTAGAGAAAAAAAAAACTTGTTAGGAAATCTGTTGCCCCACACAAACAATGGATGTATGGCAAAAAAATGAAAATTCCTTCAACAGAATCTGAGCTCAAATTGCCACAATATATGATCTAACCAACAGGGTTTGGCCATGCTTAGATGCTTGAAGTGTAGCATCTTTTGTAACAGAATGATCACAATCCCAGAACAAGAGGACTTCAATTACAACAAAGGAATCTCTAATTTTTTTCTCTCAACTGAGAAAAATATTAAGACGGGCAACACAGAAAGCACCTGAGCCTTTCCTCCAGAAATAGAGAGTTCCTGTTTTCCTGACTGCAGACTGTCACAGATATAGAAAATCAAGTAGAAGTTAATCTAGATGTGTGATGAAGTGTTGACTTTTCAAGTTTTATAAAAGAAAATGTCATTTTTTTTCTTTGTGTCTTACTTTTAATTGCCAGGATTCTTATTTTTCTTGCCTTTTTCTTTTCTCTAATGAAATTTATGATCTTCAAAGAATTATATGCCTTGTCTGATCTTTGTCGATAATATTTTCTGTAACATTCACCAATTCCATTTGTGTTTTGAAATGATTTCATAATATCTTCTCATCTGCAAAAACTTTGTTCCTTGGTACAAATGTTCATAAAAAATCTCTTAAAACTCGGATGAAATATGAATTTCAAAGTAAAGTAGGGCACATATAAATCCAACAATTAGGATCAACCATCAATATCCCTAATTAATAGCTCTAGAAAATTAAAATTCATCATCTAATTTACATAGAAAGAAAATATCGAAGTTCAACAGCAAACTCATCAATTGCAGATGAGGAAACCTAGTTCATCTTCTGTAGCATGTCTGCAGTGTAAACATAAATAACCATTCTTACATACATTGAATATTTCTGAGATACAGGAAAGCATGCGATGAAGTTTGATGAATTCTTCTTTAGACGATACTTCTTATCTTGTTTACTTCTCAAAGTGTGAACTTTGAAGTCAGTTTAAGAAAATAAGTGTCAGAACTCGGTAAATGCCACATTTGTAAAAGTAAAAATCATTTTTACACACAATGTATTTCTGTAATTATTGAGATGAAGCATGTTTTATATGAATATGATTAATTATACATGTATAATTGACTTGATCCAATTTTCATATTTCATCAATTTCTGATAACCCATGAATGTTGAAATATATCAAATATTACATAATTAACCTATTTGATATCAAAATTTCTACTTTCCGTAGCAGTGTTAATTTTGTTAACCATTACAATGCAAGTTCAAAAAGTTATACATATACCAAACTCATTAGTATGGTTAGTTTACAATGGTTACTTCTAAGGTTTAAATAATTTTGTAGTTTTTATTTCTTTAAAAAAAAAAAGAAGATAAGTATCTTTTATACATATATCTATATGAGGGGTGATCAAAAAGTTTGCAAACTATCTCTATATTTACAAAAACACAATTCAGATCAAAATGAAATTTGGCATACACATAGTCATAAACATGTTCTATAGATAGCAGATGTTACGTTATGTTTGCTCCATGTTTGTGATGTCGCATTGTGAAAATGACATCAATATGTAGATGACTTGTGACAAACAAGAGGCCCAAGGGCCTTAACGGTCACCTGAGTATAATACAACAATTTAGAAGTTAAATACACTGATAGATGAAGCTTTGTTGCCCTAAAACAAGAGAAGTAGGAAGATCAGGATCAACAAAATAATTAGTCTAGTATTCAGTATCAACTCATAAATTAAGTTCTAATCTGTCCCCCACTTAACACTATCACCATGCAGACGATTAACAAACTATTAGTGCTTCTGTACTATTTTTAAACCCATATTAAGACCTCTAGCATTGACCTCTCTTATGGTCTTTGAAGAACTTTTAATAAGATAAGTTATTTTTGTCTCATTTTTATTTATCTATTACTTACAGGTCTACCTGATTATTAAAACTAAGAAAGTACTTTTTGAATTATAGTATTATACGATAAACATTCTTGCATAATTATCTTATTCTATTAACCTTTCAAATACATTATTTGCAGTGATTAATTATCAAAGGTGAATGGAAAAGGGGAATAACTTCTCTCAGTAGAATACAAATTAATAGAGCCCTGCCCAGGACCAGAATGATTAGACAAATGGTCCAGATGTTCAAAAATTTGGTAGAAATATGCTTACTTATATCATTTAAACTTTTACTCAGTTTGCTTCTGATATGCCCAGAAGCAGAGAAGAATTTCACAGGTACAATGCATTTTCACTACAGATTCAACAAAGCCTTACCCTAACACCAGAACCCAAGACCAAGGGTCAAGAAATTTACAAATTTGGAAGAGTTACCCTCATCATTATAACTATGGACTTCAAAGAATTAACACTTTTCCACTATATTATCAAAAGCCTCCCCCCCCCCCCCTCGTTATGCCAGAACCCCTGACCCTAGGATCACAAGATTTAAAAATTCTGTTTGAAGCTCCCATTTTCATCATAGCTAAGCAATTTATTTATCAGCTCAACACTAAGGAGCAGACAGGATTAATTAATGATTAATTAACAGAATTAATGCTTTTTCACAAGATAATCAAAAGAGCCCCCCCCCCCTCCCTCTCCTCAAGAACCCCAAAAACTGAAGTCATATATTTAAAAATTTTGGAAGAGGCATCCTTGCCTATCATAATCATGCACTTAGTTTGTTTAAATAATCTCCAGTAGTAGAGAAGAAGATTTTCAAAGAATCAATGCATTTTCACTATATAATCAATAGAGCCCCGCCCTAACACCAGAACCCCTGACCCTGGGGCCATGAAATTAACTATTTTTGAAAAGGCATCCTTATGCATCATAACCATGCACTTAGTTTGTTTAAATAATCTCCAGTAGTAGAGAAGAAGATTTTCAAAGAATCAATGCATTTTCACTATATAATCAATAGAGCCCCGTCCTAACACCAGAACCCCTGACCCTGGGGCTATGAAATTCACAATTTTTGAAAAGGCATCCTTATGCATCATAACCATGCACTTAGTTTGTTTAAATAATCTCCAGTAGCAGAGAAGAAGATTTTCAAAGAATTAATGCATTTTCACTATATAATCAATAGAGCCCCGTCCTAACACCAGAACCCCTGACCCAGGGGCCATGGCTTTCACAATTCTGGAAGAGGCCCACCTCCTTATCATAACTATGTACTTAGTTTATCACCTTACTGCCCAGGAGCAGAGAAGAAGATTTTCAAAGAATTAATGCATTTTCACTATATAGTCGATAGAGCCCCGCCCTAACACCAGAACCCCTGACCCTGGGGCCATGAATTTCACAATTTTAAAAGAGGTACTCTTGCTCATCATAACTATGTACTTAGTTACTTTATTAAATATCCAGGAGCAGAGAAGAAGATTTTCAAAGAATTAATGCATTTTCACTATATAATCAATAGAGCCCCACCCTAACACCAGAACCCCTGACCCTGGAGCCATGAAATTCACAATTTTTGAAAAGGCACTTTTGCTCATCATAACTATGTACTTAGTTACTTTATTTAATAGTCAAGAGCAGAGAAGAAGATTTTCAAAGAATTAATGCATTTTCACTATATAATCAAAAGAGCCCTGCCCTAACACCAGAACCCCTGACCCTGGGGCCATGAAATTCACAATTTTGGAAGAGGCACTCTTGCTCTTCATAACTATGTACTTAGTTACTTTATTTAATAGTCAAGAGCAGAGAAGAAGATTTTCAAAGAAATAATGCACTTTCACTATATGATCTATATAGCCCCACCCTGGGGCCAGAACCCCTGACCCTGGGGCCATGAATTTCACAATTTTGGTAGAGGGCTCAATGCTTATTACAATGATGCCAACAGTTTGACTGCTTAATGTCCAGGAGAAAAGAAGAAGATTTTTAAAGATTGCATTATTTTTGGTGGTTTTAGCCCCACCCCTCAGGTCCCAGGGGGGTAGGGACCATGAAATTCACAAATTTTGTTTCCCTTTACACATAGATGCCATATGCTAAAATTGGCTGAAATTGGTTCAGCGGTTTCAGAGAAGAAGCTGAAAATGTTCAAATGTTAACACACGACGGACGACGGACGTCGCACGACGACGGACGAAAACAGATAGCAATAGGTCACCTGAGTGACTCAGGTGACCTAAAAATGGTTGACTCAGTCTGACTCGAGCAATGAATGGCTTTAAAGTTTAATGAATATCTTGGAAATTCCTTTGCAGTAGTGTATAAAAATTTGTAGAAGGTTTATGAGGACAAAAGACTTGCCAAAAGTTCAATCATTAATTGAAGGAAGGGAGATGGTTAAAAATGACGTTTGTTCTGGTGCCCAGTGAAAGTAAGCTGGGGAATAGATATGTCCTAAGTTGAGCAATTTGTCATGAAAGATCACCAAGTTATAGTTAGAGAAATAGTTGAATATCTTAACAATAATATAATTATTAAATCCCTAAAATATCATTTACATTAGACTTTAAACATATGAGATATGATAAAAACAAGGCGCACATACTTTATCCACAATGGCTAAAGAACGCATCCAAGACAAAGGAGTCGGGTTGTGATGGTTACCATGCTCATTCTGGGAAAAGATATCCTTATCCAACCATCCTATTGCCGAGATTTGGCCATTTGTGACAAATGGACTATTCTTGTTATAAAAAATAACTTGGATGGTAAGAAATATGAGACTCGGAAAAATCTTTTAACTTCTGTGAACAGAACGCTACGGAGCATGTCACATGACCTCCTGGATCACGTGATTCGCGCATGGGCAGAACGGAGGCAGATGTGCATTAAATCGGAAAGGACTTATTTAAAAAATAATAAACACCAAAACCTAATTTTATTTCTTTTATGGAAGTAATTCAATTAGTTCACGAACTTTTTGATCACCCCTCATATTTCATAGTGAATTGATTTAAACTCCTTTCAGAAACCTATTGAAGTAAAAGAGATTGCATAAAACAATCTTTTCAAGAGAATGCATAAAACAACCTTTTCCACCCCCCACCCCCTTCCACTTTCTTTTTTCTAATTTCCTACTCATACTAGTCTTTTTTGCCAATTACAGTATGTGACAAGTTGGCAATGACAAAAAAATATCAAAACATTAATGAGAAAATGGTTCTTACATCCCACATTGGACTTGTAGCTGTTGCTCTTGGCGACAGTTGACTTGGTGATTATAATGTCTTTGAAGCTATGGCGTTTCTTGTACACAAAGAGCATGATGAGTCCAAGTAGAGTAATACTGGCTATCATCGCAATCCCAATGATCACCTTATCCAGAACCCCCTGCATTTTGGATTGCTTGACTGTTGGTTGATCTGCAAAATGTAGAACAGAATTTTCCTCTTTGACACAAAGAATGAAAAAATGGTAATACATGTACATCATATAAATGTAGTACATAATAATCAATTAAGCACTGAATTTAAATTTTGGACTTTCATATTGTCATAACAAGGAAGGCTTTGCAGATAAACTGAATGACATGCATTAGCGCATTATGAAACTTTGTCTACACATGACATGAGGAACGTCCAAAACTTAGCAAAATATTTTTTTTAAAACTACAGGGAATGAAAATCAATTTCTTTGTAAGTGTGACTGTAAGTGTAATTTTTTTTCTAAGCATATTCTTTATAACTGTGCGTGACTGTACCTCTTCTCATCCCCGTTCTGGGAGTTGGAGGCATGGACTTGTACCACGTAGTGTTAAAGATCAAACGTTCACTCTCCTGGTTGTTTCCTATGAAGGAGCCCTCATTGTTATCTTTGAAAACAGGTACCACCTAAAATTAAAAATAAACATTGAAATCATAACAAAGATTTCCTCAATATCTTTGTAGTTCTTACTAGTAAGATTTCATTTTTCATAAACAGACTAGAAGTACTGAGGATCAGCTCACAAAATAATAACCCCGTAACCCCCTCCCCCCTTCCCCAACCATCACCACTGCAATTTTTAATTTGCTGTTGGTAGCAATTATGTTGCAAAATGCATGACATACCACATCAACCAAGAGCTTCCAATGTTCCTCCATAAAAAAGATATAGATCAAATAGAATTTAAAACTTTTTCTGCAGTCAGTGATCTGACCTTGTTTAAATGACCTTGAGTTCAAGTCAAGACCAGTCATAAGCCATTTTTTCCTCACTATTGGCTTCCAATGTTTGTCCTTTACAAAATCAAATGAAAATAAGTAAATACATACCTGAACTTCATATTCCTTATTGGGGTCTAAGGACATCACATAATAGCTCTGGTTGGTGACTGTGTGTTTGTAGCTTGAGTCCAGCTTATAGGAGTCTGTATCTACAAGTTTCCAGGCTACCGAGTAACCTCGTATGTATGATGTATTGTACGGCACTGTCCAGGAGACGTTTGCTGTCACACGATCGGTATCAATATCATATGTCATGGACACAATGTTTAGGTACCAAACCAAAGGGTCTGAAAAAGAAAGCCATATTTATTTTAAAAATTCTTCTTTTTTAACTAACTACATAAGCGAACAGGTTTTAATAGAAAGTGTCCAAGAAAACTTACAGTAACAGATCAAACTGTTACTTTGTTGGGAAAAGGAAGGAGAGGTGTTATTGCAAATGTTATTTTTACATTAAAAAATTCATTTTGTTGTGGTGGGATAATCTGCAGTTGACATTACTACCCTATATATACTATGGCATGTGCATGTGTAAATTAAAGAAACTGCATTAATTGTCTTGGGATTTGATCTATGAATTAAAAAAAAAAACAGTGTGTAAGACCAGAAAAAGCAATTTAAACTCTGTACCACTTATATTAATTCTGATGTTCAATAAATGTAACTGGGTTAAAATCTTCTATTCTTTTTTTTTTGAATCTTCACTTCTGGCCTAACAACAGTGTAATCAGTAACATCACTGAATAAGTTCCAGTAGATATCTTTAACTGAGAACAATGTCAGGTGTTTGGTCATGCATTGTACTTTAAAAGTAGGAAAAAACTCCCTTTCTAAGTGAGAATCTAATTCATGATTGTATGTAAAGAGCAATATCAGATAAAACAATGCGGGGAGGAAGTGCAGTGTAAGTATACGGGAAGTCTACGTGAGTGGATTTCATGATGGTCTCTACGTCATCTGAGTTCAGTGGAACCAGGGTCTAAAGATGGAGAACACACTCTTTAAGGAGGCAACAGATATATACACTTATCATATCAAGACAGGATGCAACCAGGGGCTACTGGGTTTGAAAATCTTTAAGTTCACTAATCCTTAATCCTATGCATTTATTTTTCTAATCCAACATGCAAGACCGTCATAAACAAAAAAAGATGACATGCAATAATATACGCTGTCAAGGAATCGTGGGACTCATTTCCACCGGACTCGTGGAGACAAAATAGTTAATAATAGATAACATAGTCCGATAATGCAGCTACAGGGGGGACCTAAACTCTATGTCTGATTGTGTTTATTTACAATTCTAATATTAGCAATGCCTTGAGATTCACAAAATTACAGTCTTTATTCAGAATTATTGTTTAGCATGCAATACAGCGATTTTGATGCCCTAAATGCTGTCTGAAACCTGCTACGTCATTTAAATGTATTCTGTTGATTCTTTTCTTGAAGAAAATTCCTTGGTATCAGATAAGAGAAATGAATTCCCTTTCAACTGCTTAGATAGGGTTTAGTTATTTATGAACATACATTCTTATTCTTTCCTTTACCTAAGATTCAACCATGTACGTTATTATCTTCAAAACAGAAGCCTGCTTTACAATATTAAAAATAATGGAAGGAAAAAAAGATTTTGCAGACGACGTTAATCTGCAGGGAAGGGGTACATCATTATAAAAACAATATACAGTACCACTGACGTAATGCTATTTCAGAAGGTGCCAAAAATTGATGGTGATCTCAGTATTATTTTCTTTCCTCAGTGGGTGTTAGATTTTTATATCACATATTCTTTAGGCATGAGATTGTTTAGAATCAAACATCAGAGATACTGTCGACAATTCTTATAAGAAGGGGGGAAAAGGTGGCATTACTAAAATCATAGCAATACCCCTTAGATGAAGCATCGTTTCTTGTCTTATATCCACATACAAAATCCTCCTCATTTGCGATCTAGTGATTGATGCCGAGGAAACTTAACCGAGTTTTTTAATTATTAATGTTGATTTTTCTTGCTGAGCTTTATTTGTTTTTTATCGCCTCTGTACGTAATACAGTAATACTGACAATGTGTATACATCATTTCTAATAGTGTACTTGAATAACTTTCACATACCAGTTACTTCCTCCCTCAAGATTTGTCTTGTATATGAGATATTTTGACTGATTTATGGGTTTTATGATAGATCAATACCGCCTTCAATGCATGTGTGTTCTCTTTGTCCTCTCTTTGAAATATTACATACATACACACTGTACATAAGGAAGGAAAAAAATTGATTACCTCCCTTGAAAAAAAAAGAGCAATTTCAATTTCTTAACTTAGTATGACAATATCTTTGGCATAATGAAATAGTGCATATACAAATATAGATAATGTACATACCCAAACCTCAGATTAAGAGTTTAATTTTTTTTCTTAGAACATCAGAATTATCTCAAATCTATTTTCCATTTCATATTTAATTTATACTGATTTAGCAACAATTGTTCCTTTCAAAGATGTTCAGGAAGGTATTATATGTTATTTCAATACCTATATAAAATCTTCAAAAGCTTAATTAGGATAACTTTACATTTTTATAAAAAAAATTGATAAAAAAGTTGCCAAATTTTAAAATACAAAAGTTCTGTACAATATGAGAACAAATCTTTGAATGTGCCACACAGCATTGATGCAAGAAAGCTGCAGGAGATAGGGGAATTTATTAGACACAGGTACATGTACTTGATTTGGTCTGATCTTTTTTCGAGATGAAGAAAACCTCTCCCATCCATTACTCCCTCACTTCCTCAGATTTGAATCAAACATGGAAAACATCTTTAAGATCTCCAAGAAACAAAATTGTTTGTTTTGATTTAAAACGAAAGCTGCATTAAGCAATTTACCCAAAGATCCAAACCCCTCCCTTGGAATTAGTGAAAATTAGGGATAAACGGGAATTTATCTGAATCTCTATTGAGGGGTACAAGAACAAGGTGCTAGATTTTGGCTGGATTTCGAAGGTTAGCCCCGTGACTTTGTCTTATCTTCACAGGCGATAAAGCAAAGGGATTCAAAAAAATATCCTGTTATGAACTGCTCTTAGTAATTACAGTGTAGAGTGAGCTGTTCTACACTTGGAGCTTTATCTGATGCCTCAGCTTCCTATGTGGTGATAAGGCATGTAGTCTTATAGAAAATAATTTAACTTTTAACAGGTCAAACAAATTACCACGGTCTGCACTTTAGTGACTTATAGCTGACACCTATAATGGAAAATGGAGAGAGAGAGAGAGAGAGAGAGAGAGAGAGAGAGAGAGAGAGAGAGAAAGAGAGAGAATCGAACCCAAACAAAATTCTTAAATGACATTGGGAGAATTAAAACAAAATATTCATGGTACTTGCTAGATCTATTCAGTATAAAGCCTTTAAACTGTTAAACACAAAAATTCTGTAAATATTAACTTTTCTTCTATTCTGAGTAAATTACCTTCCATGGATTCAACATGAAAAACTATGTATAACTCAAAATTTGCTACAATACAATTTAACAATTTTTTTTAAAATGACTTCCCGTAGGTAATTCAAGAGTTTCTACAAATTATGAAAAGCTGAAAACTTGCAAGGTAAGTCTTTGTCAGTAGTAATATACCTTCTTCATCATCCACAGTGTCCGTATTTGTGCTCCAACTACTACCAGCCTTATTTGGGTCCGTAACGGCAGATCCTTGATTGACAATGTAGTTATGGTTACATTTTGTGTACGTTTTTGTGTCCACTTCTTCACAGAGCTCCGTCTTAAAATTCACTTCTCCGTACCACCTTTTCTTGGTTTTCCGACTTGCTAGGCTTAGTTCGACGACAACATTGTACAGTGAGTTATACATCAGAGATTTGATGACATAAGAGGGCTGAAAAAAAAAGACAGAATAAATCTTACGGTAAAAACGATATTAACATAAAATGGCACAGCTTGAAACAATGTCAAATAAATCATTCGGAATTGAGGATTGAATTATCAGGGGAAAATTTCTTTTTATTCATTAAAATTCTTAAGAATAAGAAATTTTAGTTAAGAGTCAATGCAGATGTTTTGAATGGGATGACAAATTAGTAGACCTTGTGAAGAATTCTTTGCATAAATGTAGATCAAACTTAATCATAACTCCCTGTAACCCTAGCTGTTTTATAGCTAGTTTATTACAATTTACACATTGAACAGTATTCTTTTTGTTTATCCCAACCTGCCAGAACTATATTTTTTAACACAAAATGTTCCTTCTTTTTAACAATATATTTTTTGGCATCCCCCCCAATTAGATACCTCTTTGTCCTTGGAATAAAACACTGTGTGAGAGTAATGGTCAGCTGGTTGATCGCAAGGTGGGGAATAATCCCAAACCTGACAATTCTCCATAAACCAGGTCACTGTGTAAGCATCCCCCTCCCCAAGAGGGATGGGAGGGTTGGACCACTGAACAAGAGCGGACAGAGTTGTATCCAGGGGGTCCTCGGTAATGGTGTAGTTAACCTGGATGGGCGTGTTGACAGAGGATCCACGGTTTGTACTGGCAATTAAGGAACCTGATGGAGGGTACACCACCTCTACATAAGAAAAAAATTTTTTTTGTTCATTATCAATTGCAACTCAATATTGCCCATATTTGTGATGAGATAAATATATTCTAGTTTGTATTGACTTATGATTTCAATTTTAGTCTCCTTCCACTAATACAATTCTTGATGCTGTATCAAACAAAAGAAAAACCCTTCAAGTAATTAATTCAATTTCAAACGAAGATACATTAAAACTTGATTTAAGTGAACTACCACATCCAAATGCTTCATTACTATCTGTAATTTGTTATATCCAGAAACATTAATTTGCTTTGTAACTTAACATGATTTACCCTAACAAGGAGTTCATAATAAGCATGTGTTTCACTGTATATACAGTCAGACTTCTCTTGACCTCAATTGGACTGACCAAAAACCCCTCAATATATTTGAGGATTTGAGATATTGAGGTAAAACTACACAGAGAGAAGGTAATTGGAACTTCAAACTCACTACGACATATCTATGGTATTCAGTTTATGGAAGTCAGAGATACCTAAGTTCAACTGTAAATAACACTTGCATATTTAGTTTAGGGGGGTGCAGCCCCCCCCCCCCTCCCCTTTTGTTATCAAAAATATAATATTAAGATTGAGAAATCATTTTTGTTGCTGTTAGATATTGCATTAATTATTTGTCCCCAGACTCTTAATCTGTTTGGCCCCCTTTTTAAAAAAATCCTGGATCCGCCACTGTATAAATTGAGGATTTATGATTATAATGATTGAGGATTGGGTTACGATTATAATGATTAATGACTGATAACAATGTCTTTATTGATGAGAACCTGTGATAAGCTTGTCGTTCTCCTGAAAATGGACATCCGTGGCCGTTCCATTCTCAGTAACGGCTACCAGCCAGAACTCAGTACTATGGAGCAGAATCTCCCTCTTCAACACCACATTCCTAGATGCTGTCTGGAAAGACAAAATATCACATTTAACATTAGCTGTCTTGAAAGACAAAATATTACATTTAACACCAGCTGTATGGAAAAACTGAAAATTACATTTAACACCATCATCTGCAAAAGAGAACAATGAAAAATCTTCAAGTGCATATAGGTAATCTTTTAATATGTTCATATAGCAGTCGGGTTGAAAAAAACACACATTTGGCTAACTTTCAAGTGGTATAATTTAAAGAGATAGCAAAGAGAATCAAACCATTTATTTCCATAAAAACAAGCACTCCAGGTTAAAGACAACAAATTTGATATAAATAATAGGCTGGTAGATTTTCCTCAGCACATCTTTGCATAAATCTTTAGTGTACTTTGATTTGGAAAGGAGCAAATCAACATAAAAATTTTTAAAGACCAATGGATTACACTATCAGTAGAATATGGTATATTGGTTTTCTACTAAAGTGAATCCATCAAATTGTTATTGACCATGCACTTGAAAAAAAAAAGGCATACAAAATATATTATTTCTCTTTGTTTTATATTTATGACATAAAACTCTTATGAGTCTCCATCAGATATGCTTTGATAAGACTGGGCATAATCAAATTACTGGAGAAATATATCCCATTATGACCAAAGATGAATTATATGGCTCCAACAATGAATTGACAACAATCTTAGAGAAAGACAATGACGTACCAGTAAATGTAGGACATTAAACGGAGCAGATAAATATGCTTTAAAAAAAGATTATTCACAAAATTTTAAAAAAAAATTCAAAACAATATTTTTAGATAAGATAAAAAAAAAAAAATTACCATCTATCTATATGTTAAACTTAATCTGCACCATATATAATCTATCACATTAAAAAAAAAAAAAAAAAAAAAAAAAAAAAAAAAAAAAAAAACTTCACTGTTTAAAAAACACTGATATCACCTGTTTCTTTACATTTTTAAGAGAGAATAGAGGGATCTAAGAAAAAAATTGAGGAAAGTTTTATCGATTATATTCTGCATATAAAAACAGCTAGTAGTGAAAAATTAGCCAAGAGGAAACAAGCATTGAAGCTAAGGCTGGTTCTCTTCTAAAGCTCAGGACCGCAAGGTGTCTGCACATCAAATGAAGCAGGTAATTTTTCAGAACAGAAAAAAGAAAATCTTCGTCCATCAGCAGGGCGTAATGAGGTGTGATTCGGCACTCGTCTGTGACAAATCCTCTCCTTACACGTGTTTTAGGTATCAACACCAGCAAATTCCCAGTTCTACCTCTTGTTCTTCAGTTTAAGTCTCAATGAACTAACAATCCTTAAATCATAATGACTCCGTTTTTATTTTCTTTCATGTCGAGCTGCACAGACAGAACTTGGAACAAAAATATCATATTATGACAGCACCAACTGAAGAAACAACTGTTTCATGCGGCGTAGATTTGTACATGTAAACCTGTATCACTGAAGTCAGAAATGATCTGTGCCAAAATAACTTTACCAAATTCATTCAGTCATCAAGTTTACAAAAACAACATCATAAACATTAATTTGTATAAGAACTACATTAAAACACATCTATTTTCATCCCAAATGTCACTCATGAATTCTGAGAGAAAGTATACTGCATGCTCTTCAAATCATATTTCATAAAAAGAATATGGTGCATATCTTTGAGATTCATATTTTGTATTGTATAAAATTATAATATATGGTAGAAGTTAGTCCTTAATTTTGATTTTCCAAAACACAATTTTAGCTGTGTCTTATTAAGTATTTAGATAATATTTTTCCTATCTTGTACATACTGTAAAATCACATGGGGATTTGATTTCGTTGATAAAGAATTTTTTATTAGTTATACATGTATATATACATATATGAAATTTTACATTTCATGGTGGGTATAAAATTTGTAAATTTGTGGGTCTCTCTAAACCTTGAAAACAACAAAAATTATACCTTCATGAAAATTGGTGATTTCATGGTATGCTGTGTATTTAAAAAAAAAAAGCTTGCCATCTCACTAAAAAAAAACATTTTTGATTCTATGCTTTTAAGTTTGAGTTAAATTTATTGAAAATGAAAATAAATAAAATAAAATGGAGCAGAATCATATTGCCAGTAGTTATACATACAAAAATAAATAAATAAATAAATAAATAAATAAATAAATAAATAAATAAATAAATAAATAAATAAATAAATAAATAAATAAATAAATAAATAAATAAATGGAAAACATAAAAGATATAATGAAAAGAAGGTATTGTTTATATGCAATTTTACTTCACTTTCTCAAAACAACATAAAAAGGACAGTATGATGGCCATGACATGCATCTTTTAGTTATTATATAAAAACCAATATAGATATCGTATGATATCTTTTTATTTTAATTCTTCTCAAGTAACAACTCTTAGACAGTAATGTTGTCAAACAATTAATATACAGACACATAAGCAGTGTGGAGTTCTTCATTTAGGAACTGGGTCACATTTCTCAGGGAACATTATTACGATTGTTTTGCACTTTTCCCTCTTACATAGTATTGTTAGAGAGGAATCTTATTGTAAGCCATCTTCCCAGACAATTTATTTTGGGTATAGAACTTGTTGTACAAATGATTTTGTGCCCATGTAAACAATCCGCAAGCAAGTGGGTTTCTTTCTAAAGGGAACAAAATATAGTACAGTAGAACATGGTTTATTCGATAGTTAATACATAACTAAATCCAAGTTTAAAAATTATGTCATTTCATCATAGAAGATAAATAATCATTAAGAGAATATAACTAATTACTAAAATACTGCAGCTGTTCAAATGTCTCTATAGCTATTCACTATAACCATGTCTTACACAAATCAGTAATATTTAACACTTAATTAATTTGTTTGTTCCTTTGTGCAACATTAATTCAGAAAGTAGGATTTTTATGGTATCTACATGTATATATATCATATTGATCATAGGAGTTTTTAAACTACAATGTAAGTAAAGGTTTACGTACTAAAATTTTAATACTTTAAGAAAACAAAATCAAAACAAATGCAAATATTAATATCCTAATTCTCTTTTCTGTAGTATGAAAGGAAGAATGAATAAAGAAAATACATGACTGAACCAGGAATCATAGCAGGGGCCCCTGTATCACTTAGTCAGGTGCTCTACCACTGAGCTTATACCCAAGCTGATATCAAGGTCCATACAGCCCAAACTTCCACGTATCCTTAGAAATTAGAACAGTACTATATATCTCTAACAAATCACTTGATACAAAATTTAGTTTACTAGTTGATTGATAGATTTGTTATTGAGATATCATTGATTTAAAATATTTCAATACTATACAGAATAGTTTCATAATCTTTTTAATTTTTGAAAATTGATAGGTACTACATTATTGATATATGTGGGACTTAATCTAAAAATTAACTCTTAATACTTATGTTTTATACTGAATATTAAAATGCAATATTAGAGTACTTATGTTTCATGTCTTCTGGTATTTAAATATCTTGATATGATTTGCCATTTGATATAATTCAATGATGGCCCAAAAACTAAATGAATTCAAAAAATAAATACTTCGCATCCCAGCACATACCACTGCATGAACACTGCATGATGGGAGAGATATACCAGTAATAGAAAAAGGTCACCGTAATTACTGTTACGAATTATGTTAAAATATACATGTGATAGTCATGTATTAAGGGTGATGAACCTTGGCAGTGATTATGTATGATGTGGTTACTTTGCTCTTGGAGTAATATGTACCAGACTACACTCCTATGTTAATTGCTGTATAGTATCTCAGAAATCAACAGATAGATGGCACAACCAATTATTCCAGTAACTACCATATCATTGAAGTATAGCTCTTCATGAGTAACACTGCAAAAAGATGGATTAATTATCCTAAACACTTCCTCCAAATTGCCAAGATACATGACATTCATTGGTAGTTGAGTATTAATGTTTCAAGGTTTTGCTTATTCAACCCCTTTGAATTTAAATTCAGTTTGATTTTTTTTTTTTTAAAGTTAACTTTTATACTTGAATTATGAAGACAACATTTCCATAAAATTATTGTAGTATTTCAATAATTGTAACACTAGTTTACAGACAAATATTCAGAATATGTTTTTAGAAAGTGCTCCTTAAATTTTTTTATGATAGCATGCAATATAAAGCAGCTAGCATAAAATACACTGAATTTTGCATTTTACAGATCCTAAGCATACAAATAATCTAGCTCAGTCAAATTTTACCCATCAATTTATTAAATTTTTCTGGTGCAATTTGATCCCCAATGTCATTATATATAGCTAATGCATAAATCACATGTTGGAATAAAATGTATTGGAGGGAATTCAGTTCAATGTGAATTTCATTCCCCTAAAATAATCATCTGCACCCTTCCCCCCCATTCAACTCCTTGGAGACAAATTATATGAGGATCAAAAATAATTTCTAAAGCACTTGTTTTATTTCAAAATAGATCATCCTAAATGTACAATATGGAATCGGATCTTTGTGCCATAAAATCTTTATTAAATAAAAATTGCTTTGTCAAGCTTCACATAATATTCATACTGGCCTTGAAGCTTTGATTAAGTTTTATAAAAAGACTTCACAAATAAAATATCAGTCGATCCAACTCTGCTGGTGGTATCTCTGCAATAGTCCGATTTTTATTACGATTACAACATCAAGTACCGTGAAGAAGTTTGATGTTAGCTGAACTTCAAGTGCCTGCTTCATTAACAAGATATATTAATAATGAGAAGAACTAGAGGATTATTAGAACTTGTACCAGTGATGGGGGCCAGTCATGAGAGGTCCATAATGTCCATATAGTTATTTTTTGCCCCATCTCCTTCCTTTTATCTGTACACTGATAAGAAGATTCTTCAGAGAAGCAACAGACAGTTATAAAAACAGCCTGATATTCCATAGATCTTGCTGTATTGAAACATTAGAGAGGTATGTTTGCTAAATATTTCGAGTGCTGTTCTAGCATCTGGGACGGCAGCAAGCCCAAAACTCTCAGCAACAGGTGGGAAGCTCAGGCATTTTTCATCACCTATTTTCACTAATTTACTGAAAGGTAACACTGAAGATATATGCATATACCCTGAACCATGTGAGAAATATTCTCGAGAGCACTCATTTGACCCGAGTTTGACTGGTTTCAATAAAAAAGGCCGAATGAATTTATGTACATGATTTTATTCATGTGATTACTTAGAGTTTACATGCGCTTCAAAGATCGGCCACACAAACTCGCTGGTTTCGCACTGTCAGATTCAATATGGATGAAGTCTAGCTTATATATATTTTTTACCTAGCTGAGATTAAGTTTAGAAACAGGATGAGCCTATTTTAATCGTTAGCTGGCAGATAAAATTAGGTGACACATTATGGGGAATGTGAGCAAATTATGATCTGCCTTCACAATATTAACTCGGCATGGCATAGCAATAAAAAAAATTTGATTTATGGATTAAAAATCTTTCATAATATGCCTGATAAAAATAGATGTAGAATTATTGATACAAGTCTGAGGATGGGTGTATTAAGAACCTGAATTTTATGTACAGACTGATAAATAGATATGAACATGATGAAGAAAGTGATAAATGTCGTGTCAATTTCTCATTAATTTGTTAAGCTATATTGATAACAATTATTTAACTTGGAAAACAGATTTTTTTCCCTCATGATACATAGACAGTTTTATGTCTAATTTAAAGTTTTTGCTTATCTATTTTATATATTTGCAAAAGAGGCAAAATGTTTCAGGTTCTTGTTAGTAAGGACTTCAGTGTCTAACACAATGCTAAATCAATGACTGGAAGACAAAAACAATGGTGGACATTCTAGATGTTACAGAAAACTACTCACAGTCATTTTTGCTATTCTTTGTTTGTATATAATTTTATTATGTTTTTTTTTACACACTATGCTTCCAGATAAATAAACGTCTAATCAAATTAAAGTTCTTTCTTACCCCACATAAAATAAGGAGGACATTTAACATACACTCTTACGAAATTTTTTTTTTCTCGGATTTACATGCATCTATCAAAACTAAGTTAGTCAGAATATATCAAGTTAAACCTGAAATGTGTTAAGATTTAAAAGAAGTAAAATATTAGCTATTACCAAAGAAAGCCTTTAAATCATATTTCATCATTATCAAGACCCCAGACCTAGGTAAACAAAGTCTTTAGCAGGTGATAAGTTGAGTCTAAGATCTTCCTGACATCAATACCCACTTTGATGAAGTTAATTTTGATAGTACTAAAACCAAAACTGAAAGAGAATCAGCCCCGTAAAAGACCAAGACATGAAAAGCTTTCACTAAACCACAAATTCCAGACCATTATAATTAACATACTTCTGAGCACTTTTCCATCAGCGCACTTTAAAATTCAACAAAGCAGTGCTAAGCCAAGAGCAACAACAGTGTCATCAGTGACATCTTTTATAGGTACATGTTTCACTTAATATGATAGATACTGGTTATTTTCATAATTTCTTAATCAATTCAAATAAATTTTGTCTATTAGAATTAACTTTAATTGCCTTTCTAACAACATGGTATCTTAATTGTAAAAAGAAATATGAACATTGTCATACTGTTTAAATAGTAGAATATTAGCATAATTTTAATTGGGTTTAATTCTCAAATTTTTTTTTCCATATTGGCCATTAAAAGTTCTGTTTTCAGACTGTTCTGAAGTTCTTGCCCCATTGGCCTTAAGTTCTGACCTCATATTGTTCCCAAGTTCCTGCCCCATTGGCCTTTAAAGTTCTAACCTCAGATTGTTCCCAAGTGCTTAAATCTCTCTCTCTCCATTTTTACCTGTATGACCTCGGTCCAGGCCCTTGTCTGTGGAGTACCAACTGGTTCCTTGGCCATAAGGACATAAACAAAGGCCTGTCTATTGCCAGATACCAGTTCCGAGGTGGGGGTGTCCCAAGCTATTTCTATTTTCTGTGTACTTTTGAAAGGTACCACTACCGGCTCCATGCTGAATGTCCACTGACCAGTACTTGGGGATGCTGCAATGATTCAGATAAGTGCAATCATTAAGTTAAAATGAGGAGAGGAATAATTAATATGTGTAATTATCGGTAAGTGTTAATTGGAATTCAAGAAGGACCAATGGAAGTGTTGGGAGTTTATTTTTTGGGGGAAAACCTTTCCTGAATGTATCTGTATAAGCAGATTGTTATTCTCATTTTGAAAAGTCAATGAATCTATAAATTGGCATAGCCATTGATAAAGATTATGCTAATATATCAATCTCTCTAAAGAAAATATTAAGTATTTGATGGCCTTGATCCTACAAAATGTTGGTATATATATGATATACATGTTGTCAGTGTGTTATTAATAATAACTAGCTGGCAAATTCTGGTCACTCAACCCTGTATCCCGTCCCTGGTAACAGGTTCTGATGTTTTAATTTCTCTGTTTATCTTATCAGAGACTATCTCCAGTAGCAGTCAAAAACTGGCCAAAATCTAGGAGTTGCCAACACATGGAGGGGGAAATCAAAACTAATTACAGTGTAGCCAGTCATAACCAGAGAGTGTGTACAAGAATACTCCCAGGAAAAACATGATGGCAGTTTGGTCAGTTTCGGACTTGGCTTGTCTGGAACTCCACCAACACACACAATGGTTAACTGACACAAAATCCACAAAGATTATCTTCCTGAAATAATTACTTCTTGCCTCTAATTCTCCTTAGATTCCCACATAAAGAGTCTAGCCAATTAGACAGCTCTAAACCAGAAGCAAATAATGAGGCCAGAGCAACTTTAAGAGTCTCTGTATTTTTTTTTATTTTCGGAGGGGGACCAGTTTTATTGCATTTTGACTGTTCCTGATCATGTGAACAGGATCCTGAAGAATATTCTGGCTGATGACATAGAGCAATATAAAAAAGAAATAAAACTTTTTTTTTTGGCTCTGGGAATGAGGTAATAAATAATAATATTCTCTTACACAAGAAACTAAGGAAAATGCACAAAGCTTGCTTAAAAGTATATATACTTGTATATACATGTATCTGTTAAAAAAATGGTGATAAACAATATGGCCTAAACGTTATTCATATTTCTATTTACATGTATTATAAAATGAAGTCAACAAGTTCAAATTGTGTTTAAATTGAATTCAAAGGCCAATCCTAATAAATTACCTGTGTTCAAAATGTTTGCCTTGAAATCACATGCTACCCTGCATCCTTTTTGCTGGAAAAAAAGAGAGATAAATTTCATGGTAGACCTAGAAACTTGGAACTTATCAATTTAACCCATTACTTAATTTTTTTACAATTACATTCATCTGTATTGAGCTGAGAAGCTAAATATTAGAACATATTGCCTGCTATGTCATGATTCACAGAATTCCACATTAACTCAGTCTGTTCATATGCTTTCAATTAATAATTTGATGTTAAGATGAATCAAACATTTACAAAGGAAAAAACATCAGATTTGAGTTTAAGAAAAATGGCTACAGCAGACAATTACCTATTTTCGAATAAAAGAGAGGACAAAGTAGTCTCCACTGACATTGAAATTTCAAATAAAAACAGCTTATATAAAAATCAATACAATGTCATCTTACACATTTGTCTCCATTGTGGCATATTTCTGAGAATATTTCAGGCCTCAGAACAAGAGGTTCACACATTTTCCAGCACTGCAAACAAATAAACAATTTAATGAGTCAATTAATGTATGAATTTATGTTTTCAAAGATTTTTTCTTATATGCATGTATTTTGTTAATTTTTTTTTTTTTTGCATTATAATACAGCTTTTAAGTACTATATACATGCTTTAAAGTATTTGCCTCATTTTGAATTTACCGATATTTTTTTTTAAATATCTCTAAAGTGTTTTGTGCATTTTATTAAATCAGCCAGGATTAAACTTCATAAATAAGTGATTTGGTTGCAAATTTGAGGCAAAAATAAAATAAATAAATAAACGGAAGTCAGAATTTCATTTTACAGCATACATATATGTATATAATCATGGAATCTCTGTTAATTATCACGTCTATGAAAATTAATGCCATTCACAGGAAATCTTCATTTTCATTGAAAAATCTGGTCTCCCGGATCGTCATCATATCCTTCCATTGATCAGTAAGGTACAAGGATGCTAAATCTACCCCACTCATCTTGATGAAATTAAACCTTGCCTGTTCCACTTTTTTCTTAATGGATATTGAAGTGAAAATAGTGGCGAAAAATCAACTCTGTATATAATCATGGTTAATGAATGACCTTGTGAATATGGCCTATACTTTAATCATAATGGTTTTAGACTTGTAGCAAATGTTGTAAAAAAAATTTCTTTATTATTTTATTAAAAGGTTTGAGAGGCGATGACATGCATTGATATTATAATGGAATAAATAAATCTGAGACAATGGGAGATGGAGCACTTTGATGGGGGATATTTTTCAGCTGAGGTTTTTTGTTAAATTAAACATGAACATACCACATCACAGCTCTTCCTCTTGAAGCAGGAGTTATCATCATACGGAGCTCTGAGTGTCTGTGAATGAATGAATTTTTTTTTTTAAATTCTCAAATGCTAAGTCAAAATTTTTTTTATAAAATTGTTTCTAACTGCGCATTTGATAAAAATATATGAAATGGCCAAAAAAGGCACTTCAGATTAAATATCAATGCAAAATAAATATTCAAATATATTCTTGATTATCTGGGGAATTTCTGTGGAACTTAGAAAAAAAAATCCTATTGGATTATTCACTACTGAGATGTCTGCAATTGCTAATACACCTTAAATACCATGAAAAATATATATTCAAATAAAGAGCTGCATGTACAGTTTTACAAGATACATTTGTACAGTTTGGTAAAATTACCAAAAATGGTTTCAATTTTCTTTTTGTGGCTCTTTTCATCAAACTTTTAGTATCAGTTCAATTTTAATAAAAATCATCAAGGTATATGTATGTGGGTTCTCAAATTCAAATTTTTTTTTTTTTTTGCAAAAGGCAAAAAAAAAAAAAAAAAAAAAAAAAAAAAAAAAAATTGCATACCTCACTTGAAAATATGGTTAGTATTTTTTCATTATAACTTTGTTTAAAATTTTGCGATTTAATTAGTCTTTGGTCAAACATTTTTAGCTAGTTCTATTTTGAAAGGGGTGGTTAGCCAAATACACAGTTTCAATATATATCAATGTATATGAAGCTTTCAGTATTACTTATGTAGATATAGGGTTTCTGAATTTCCTTTTTTTTTGTGTCCTATTAGCTTATCTCTGAAGATTTTAAATGCAAAGTTTTATGTTGCAATGTAGTTCCTCCTCTTTCATGGGTGATAAATATCTTTTAATTTCTCATAGATTTGTCTATAAAAGAAAAAATCAAGGGGGGCAAATAAGCATTTTGAAACATGCACCTGTGTTTTGCATGTTTAAATAAAACTGCCACCAAAGCAAATAAAATTCCAAACAAATTAATCAATTTGTCTCCAGGTTGGTTAACCTAATAATAACATGTTTCCACATAAATTCTTTTTTCTATGACAACAACGTTACCGAAAAGTATTGAAAGTGAAAACATAAGGGGTATTACAACAAGATTGATTAGTTCTTGAAGATTATCATGCAGGTATACCCAGGAAAAGGGGGGATATTTTGGCATCCCCCAGATAAAGCACATGCTGAAATAAGTGACTGTACAAGTTGTTGCTTAAATCTCACTCAATCATAAAATTAACTTCTTAATCCAATTTTTCACCCCAATACTGCATTAGGTAGCCTTTTATATGCCTATTGCAAAGTGCATGCATGACTCTGTGCATGGAATCAGCCTTTTAGCACTGTCATGGTGCAATATTTACCTTGCATGATTTAGAACACAATTTTTATCCTGTAAATTTTGGAGGCATAAAATTCATCATGCCCAAAAACACTGACAATGTATTATCATACCTTCCTCATTTAGCAGTTTAGTGCAAAATGTTTCTACTAAAAGTAAAATGTTTCTACTAAAAGTAAAATGTTTCTAATTATCAGGATTCATACTGTTCTCCAAATATTTGATGTTTTATTTTATTTCCATTGTCATTTATTGAAAATAGCACTGGTGACACTTATTCTCTTTCTAGAAGTGAACAGGCATTGCCTATATTCACGAGATGGCATGTCCAACTTCTCTAAAGCGAATACCTGCAGCGTGTAGCCGACTGTGCTTCCGTGTATCTCCACATAAGTCTTACTTTGAGTAATATTTCTCTACCATTTTGATTTGTCATTACCTCAGTTTATGCTTTGGTACTTTTAAAGTTTTTGAAAACTTATAACAAGTTTCGTTTCAGGTTGATCAAGCTGATGATGATGACCTCCAAGATATCATAGTATCGAAATGAGTACGGTCAAACTATATTTATTCCGAATAAAAAATGTCAATCCGAACACGCTTTCTTAATATTGGTCATAAATTTCTATCTATAAGCTGAAATCATCAATGTGTTATTTAATTTTCTTCTCTTTTAATTTAAAAAAAAATAAAATTTGTAAATGCATAAAAGAAAATTGAAAAAGACACACATTTAACTTTGCGCAAAACGCCTTATGGAATCATGACAAAGATACAACATTTGTTTCTCATTCTTTTTTCGCAAAATATTAATGTGTCTGTAAATTAATTATATAAAAACAACTAGATACACATAAAAGTAATAATTATTACATTTAAAGAGGGAGTGTATTATTTTTAAAAAGTATACCTCTTGCAGGCACCTTGCTCGACACCGTGCTTTAGCGATTGGTCCAACATCAATTGCTGAAGTCCAAATGGAAATCAAAAGCACGAAAGTCACAATCGTCAACAAATTATCCATTGTTTTTTACAGTAAAAATCTAATAAATCCAGCAATTCCAAACAATGTCACGAAGTTACTGACCCATTACGTGCGGAGGTACTCAGGGAAGTTATTTCCGTAAATATTGAACCCAGCAAATACTTTGTGCCCGCGCACTCATAGCGTAACTACTTTATAAGTGCCACTGGTTGTTGTTAAGGAATGTCGGAAACCTTATCTATATCAAATTTACATCGGAGATGAATTATTAAGAAAATCGGTGATAAAACACTCTCCTATTAATTACAACAAAAACGTGTGTAGAAAAACAGAAAGGTTGGGCCTCGATCTTCAACGATAATCTTCGATCACATGGCCTCTCCTTGTTAATCCCTAATTAATTGTAATATTCACTAAGGCTGCTAATATCCACAATTCAGAGACGTCTTAGGTGCCAAAAGTCACTTTTCTTAACACCTTGAGGGGTAGTTTTAACAGCTTTCACCATCTAACCCCAAGAACCTCTTACACGAACCCCAAATACATTAACTCCAACCGAAAGAAAAAAGAAAACATGTAGCGATGCTTTTTTGCTGATTCAAGTCCAAATGAGAAGAATTACACATAAAAATAAACATTAAACTATTTGATGAGATGAGGTTAGTTCGCTCCTTTGCTTCACGTGCATAAGAATTGAATGTTTCTCTTCCTCTGTTGACTATACGTACGTTTACTCGGAACAACTCAGACAGTAACGCGAATCCCTATACTCTGTATCTCTTCTTATCACTAGAACCCTACGTAGGCTTGCAAACAAATCACATCAGACATGCCATAGAATTCATCCACTCTACCGCTTCTAAAACCTACTGATATTCACTTTGATAAACTCCAGTTTGTGTTTTTTAGCCATTTTTATCAGAGACAATCTGGGTCAAATCGAGTTACTTAAATATAAAAGGAACTCATATTTAATGCATCTTCTAAGAAGAAGCAGAAAAGTTGTAATGGCAAGAAAAAACCCTTCTGTTCTTGAAATAAAACAGTATTGTTTCAAAAGTAATAGGAAATCTTAATTATATCACGAACAACAAATAAACAATCTTCATTAACTAAGTTATCAGAATTTGGGGGTCAGGTTTCTCAAAGGAAGACGATACGACAGGGTCTGAATAACATTCATTTCAAAACCCCTTGACCCCTGTTGTTCTTAGGTTAAAAACGCTTTGTTAATAAGCAGGGGTAATTGATGAATACTTTGCTTCATAATTCCAGCAGAATTGTTTATATACAATTCGCACGATCTGCTCGTACCAATTAACCCCCTCTGAGCGAAAGCATTCTTTTTGCACAACATAAACATGTAAATAAGAAAAGTGCGTATGCAACAGACTATACATCGTAGGCAATTTCCTGGTAACTGCCGTTTCTGGTTTAAATTTTTTTTAATGCAATGTCACATTTAACCTTGCGTGACGTCAACGCTATTCTATCGAACTCTCTGCTGAGACGTTCACTATGATTATTATTGTCACTGGACAAGAGAATCGGAGTCATAAAACGTCACTGATATTTTTCCTCTTAAATGTATTTGTCATTCTGTAAGTAAGACATATGTTTTTGTCTTGGTGGTCCGTTTCTAGAATGCGGCGGATTGTTTTTGCAGTTTCAATTACGCGAAAAGATCAGCGTTCTGCAATATTTTGTATAAAACTAATCTAGTATAGTGGGATTCATTTTCGATATTTTTCTGAAATGTAAGCAATGAACAAAAAGTCAATTGAACAATGTCTATTTAGAACTTTTTTGCAATCTGTTCTAAGAGATTTCCATTTTTCCTTTTGTCTTACTTTATTGTATTTTAGCAAATGATAAATCACAAAAAAGAAATATTTCAACACCATGAACATGAGATGTAAATAAAAACAATATTGGTGGTCACATTAGACTACGGTCTACTGTATCACCGTGATACTATCATGTGTTTCTCCCTCCTTCTAAAACTGTTACTCTGTAGCAAATACACAGGCAGCCTCAAACAAACAAATCGCCATTTTCTTTCAACGAATTTGCCAAAATGATTAAAAGCTTCAAGTTCTTTTCATGAATTACATTTTTTAAACAAATCAATTTTGATGGGATTTTTTCGATGGCTTACCAAATTATAACCACGCACTTTTATTCCAATAACCTTGACCTTATCCAATGACCCTTGATCGTTACTATGACAAACCCTTGGGTCGTAAGTAACCTATGTGTTCTTAGTGAGCATCTAACATTAAATTTAATTTCTTACTTTTTCCTCTTTCAAAGGTTGTAATTAATAAAAATTCAAAACTCATTTGGAACTCTGATTTCAAAAAATCTTAGTCAAGGGTTTTGGGATTTTATTGCTAAACTTATTTAACATTAAGTGCATCTTTTAATGTATACACATTAATGACTTTTACAGGCAGAGGAATAATTCATTTTTGTTCCCCGCTGTCACTGAAAGTGGGGGATATTATTTTGGTTCTGTCTGTCCGTTCGTCTTTCTATCTGTCTGTCTGTCATTCTATCTGGTTGTAAATCTTTCGTTTCCAGACGATATCTCAAGACGCCTTTAAGCCTTTGTAACGAAATTTTATACCACAACTGCCGAAAGATTTTGAGGTTTAAAAGTCTAAGGTCAAGGTCAGAAATTCATACACTTTTCTGTGTGTAACACTTTTGTTTCCAGACGATATCTTAAAAAAATCTTTTGGGATTTTGCAATGCAATTTTATGTAACAATTTTTATATCACAACTGCTAATGGCCTAAGAAAAACCCTACTGATTTTGAGGTCAAAAGGTCAAAGGTCAAGTCAGAAATTCACTGCAATGCAAATAACATTTTCCAGATGATGACATGTCTTTTTGAGCCTTCTTCAATAAAATTTAATATAACAACTCCCTCTGGCCTAAAGAAGTCCCCTACTGATTTTTAGGTCAAAAGGTCAAGATCATAAATCATACATTCTGTTTGTGTAAAACTTTTGTTTTCTTACTATATCTTAAAAAAGCCTTAGAGCTTTTGCAATGAAATTTTATATCACAACTCCCCATGGCCTTAAAAAGATCCATTTTGACGTCAAAAGGTCAAGGTCAGAAATATACTGCATACATAGTTTTCAGAAGATAGTTTTAGTTTTTCTGTAAGCTTTTGCAATGCAACTTTAGGTCATGAATTTCTTTAAATTAAAAAAGACTACTATATTGACTTTAAGGCAAAAAGCTGAAAGGTCAAGGGTGACCCTTTTTTCTTTCTCCGTCTGCATATTTTTTCCAGTTCTTTCCACCCCTTTCTTTTTTCCTTATGCGGGGGACACGAATTCTCTGAATTATAGCTTGTTTCCTTTAAAGATATCCTACTCCCATTGTGTCATCATTTTTGTACACCTTTATTGATCTGCAAGTCGTGCATCAAAAATATTTTTTCCCAAATTCCATTGATTTGCATACTTTCAAAAGAAAACCTGTAAAATCATAATCCCGATTAATTTTTTCTCTTTGCACGTTGGTCTTCTTTGACTCTGGGAATTCGACATCATTTAAGTGAACATTCTCTTGTTTCCTGGTTTTCTATCGATTCCACATCTAAAAGGTGTTAAAATTAAGTGTGCAACTAATCATGGCAATTGATATCTAATTCTTCGGTGCTCCACTGTGTCAATTTTGGATTGGCCTTAGGTTACGAAAACGTTTTAACGTTAAGAACCAAGGCCGTAGATTTCTGTAGACCATTGTGATGATTTGAAACTTGGGCTTTTAAATTGTCTTGATACTCAGATAAGTATTTTGCCGTACATCGTATATAGTTATTATACAGTGTATAAATACTTGGCATGACGGTGTTTTAATGTTGACGTGAATTTTAATCTAGATTCATCATAACGTAATTGTTAAGCAATCCGGATTATGAAAACGTGAGTTTTACAAAGTTGAAGACAAAAGTTAAAGTTAGAAACATCCATTGGGTTAATTACCTGAATTATGGACATTTTTTTTTCTATTGGTTACAAAATTTGTGTAAAAATAAACAAATAAAACTTTTTTTTGTGAATAAATCTTTTTTAAATTAAAAAAATAATGTTTTACGATTTCACTTAGTTTTCTTATATCTTCCTTGATTTTTGTAACTAGTAAACTTTTTATAAGAAGACTGCATTCTTCATAAAACCATTAAAAGATTCCCTGCATTTGTTCAGAATCACAGCAAAGCGAAAACTAGAAGCAGGAGAATGGACAGGCCAACGGAAAATGCACAACGTTCATGCACATGTATATTATTTAGAATAAATAATTTTCTTGATAGATATATGAACGTGGGACCTGTCTACTTTTCATTTACATTGTAATTCATTTTTTGACTATGTTTTTCTTACTTAAACATAACCTTTTGATTGAAATTAAATGATTTTTTTTTCTTTTTGAAAGGATTTAAAAACGAATTGAACAACGCAAAATACAATTTTATTTAATAAATTTCAGTCTCTTTTGAGGGCTGCTTGCATGTTTTGAGATATTTTCAATAAGAAAGGTATCTACACATGCAATATATATATATATATATATATATATATATATATATATATATATATATATATATATATATATATATATATATATATATATATATATGTATATATATACATGTACATACCGGTCTTGTAGAGTAGGCTTTCCCCTCTAAAATCTTTCCCACGGAAAACTGGTTCTAGAGTAGGATTTCCCCACGAAAATAGGCTCTAGAGTAGGATATCCCCTTCGGAAATCACACATCAGATTCAATTTTCCGGGGAAAATCCTACTCTGTGTAATAGTCATATAGAGTGCGATTTCCCCATAGCCAAGGGGGTGGGGGTGGGGCAACATATTGCTTCCCTTCTTCAAAATGGCGACCATATAAAGTACAAAAATAGACAATTTAAATCTCATTTTGCTCAGTAACCGTCCAACCAATTCTTTTGAAGCATTATCTTATTCTTTTGATCAGGTCAAACTGGTTTCTGAAAAAAAAATATTGGTTCAAAAGGGAATTTTATTTCAAATGATTTTTTTTCTCCGATTGTATTTCAAACTAAACGTTCATCATAATATTGATGTGTAAGTTCCTCTCCAAGATTCTGGTGTTTTATTTTTATTTCTATGGCAACGGCATCCAAAATAGCTGCCGTTGCCATAGAACTAAAAATGGCTCATTTATTTCTTTAAAAAAAAATTTGAAATTTTGCAAAACTTAAAACTTACAAAACAGAGTATTTTTTCTCTGCTTTCAAATCCAATATTACACCGCTGAAATAGAAGGGACATAAGCTCCGTCTTGCAAAAGCAGTGTTCCTTGTATCGTTTTGTTTCTTGTTTTGGCTTTTAAAATTGTTTTTCCCTTTGCAGAACTCGATTCAAATACTCACAAAATGGCATATGGAACCTATCAATAACATAATTTTTAGAATTTTCTGACACACTCTTTGTAAAAAAGATCGATCCATAAATGAAATACTAGGCCTTTATAGGGCACTAAAGGTGGCCTGATACAGTATGCAATTTAAAATTTGTGAACATGAGGTACCGCGACAAAGAAAGAGGGTGTTGACACATCGAGTCTTACAATTTTTTTGGTTACTCATTTGACAGATTCCTAAGAGTTAAAATTTT